GTTAAGTGTCAGTTGAAGGAGCAGTATCAACAGATATAGAGTAGTCAGTTTACTAATACTCAAATGGACCATCACTGTTACTATATTTTGTGGCATGGTTCTCGTTATTATTAACAGACTGAGATGAGGCTCTGGTTTGAAGAGTTCAGTATGTGAAGAAATAGCTGATCTCTTATCACTAATCACTACATATTTATGAATTAAAAGTTTGTCCACTCATCTTCAACATGTTTACTATTAACACTGGAGAGATCTAAATTTGGAATTTGCAATGAAAGAAATGCTGTTAAAATAATAAGAGAAATCAGTCAACATGATTTACTGTTTTAAAAGTTTTTCTGGGACTCAGAATCTGATCGAAATATTTATAAATGTAGACTGCTAAGTTGATAATCTGGTTCTTTTTGACATTCGCTAGAAGGAGTTCTGAATGGCCTTCATACAATGTTTTTGTCAAAATTCAGGCTGCACTCTATTTTTAGTCCATGTGATGTTGATTCCGGTCTTTCCGCTTCTTCACAAAAGGTCATTTTTTGCTCTTTGAAAGATGTCTCTTTCTGTTTAAATGGCATATAACAACACATGCTGTATAACTACACATAGCCATTGAATCAGAGATTTCATGCTGAATGTTAAAGCTGGAAAAATAGACATACTTTCAATGACTTAATTAATTAATTAATTCATTCATTCATTCATTCATTCATTCATTCATTCATTCATTCATTTAACAAGTATTCATTAAATATAAATATAATGCTTTTGCTGTATGTACAATGCTAAATTAGTGGTTAGCACTGTCACCTCACAGCAAGATGGTCACTGGTTCGAGTCTCAGCTGGGTCAGTTGGCATTTCTTTGTGGAGTTTGCTTGTTGGTGTGGATTTCCTCTGGGTGCTCCGGGTGTTTCCACCTTAGTCCAAAGACATTTGGTAATAATAGTGTATGTGTGTGCATATAAGAGTGTGTGGGTGTTTCCCAGTATTGAGTTGCAGCTGGAAGGTCGTCCGCTGTGTAAAACATATGCTGGATAAGTTGGCGTTCATACCGATGTGGAGACCCCTGATGAATAAACGTACAAAGCTGAAGGATAATGAATCAGTTTATGAAATTCTGGAGGTTGAAAGCAAAGGTGTTCACAGGTTCTGTGCCTCAACTTTTAAATTAACCATTTGTAGCAACATCATTGTATACCATCAACTTCACAGCAGGTCACTAGTGCTTTCCTCAAGGAGAGATTGTGTTTATTGGTTCCATTAACTTTCACTTTGTCAAGGAAGAAAAAGCGTACCCATTACTTACAGATTCTTATAGTACCTTCATAAAGTGTAAAGCTGAAGGACGAGAGAACAGCAAGGTAATATTGGCTAGTCTGGACACCTCAGTTTCCACAAACCACTGAGCTGTTAAATGCCATGTACACCCTTCTAAGTGGAACTGCCTAATGGTTTGGGGATGGGTTGCCAAGTCCCAGACAAATTTCCAGCCTAAAGCAGAATCAAAACCCACCAAAAAGAATGAAAATCCCTCCAAACCTTTGCATGATAACTGAAAAAAAAAAAATAATAATAATAAAAACGATTGACTTCTGATCAAATAATAATAATAATAAAAAATTCAGCTGTGCTTATTTTACCAGGTATTCAGTCCAAGGATGTGATTTAATTCATTTTACATGTATTTTGTTTTTTGCTTAAAAGGTTTTGTCTGTTGGTGGCTGTTACATTATTGCCTTTTTTGATAACTAGTCATAAAACTAAAGAGTCACCCTTCTGAAACTGTTCACTTTCATTTTAATCATTCATAATTATGCACCGCATAATTAGACTTCCTTGCACTTCATGCATTAAAATGAGAGCTGCAGAAGCAAAATGGCTTAACAGTCGATGGTCCGATGCTCTTACTGGAAGGCTTACTGAATGTTTTCATAGCGTATTTGCAAGCTTGAATTGTGCATCATCTAACTCTGTTTGAAACAAGCAAATGAGTTTATTTTGCAAGGATGTTGATGCTTGTGTCTGGGCAATACTTACATTTCCTACCCAGAGATCATTCAGTCGGTCCTGCATCACCCAATCAGTCTCTCGCTGGCAGCTAATCAGAAGAGCCTCTCAGCAAACACACACCAGTATTGACTGGCACCCCCATGCTATCTTTCCATTACCGAGAGCTCCACCTTCCCCACGGTTGCCTTGGCATGGGAAAGATGAATCAATCTCGGTAGTAAAAAAACTTTATCGCTGGTCTGTGTTTAACCTTTGCAATAACTTAGCCACAACTGGGTGAGGAGATACCACCTCTTTTATAGCTGATGCCTCAATCCGACATATGTTGTGACAGTTTCAACATATTAAGCTTTCAGAAGCTTGACTCTTTTGTAATTGCATTGTTTCTAAGTTAATATAGCTTGGAAATACTATTATTATTAGGATGATTCTCGTTCTGATGAAATGATCAAAGACCTTTGCCGTTGTAACATGGCTGCAACAGGCTCAATGATATTACGCTAGTTACCAGTTAGTAGCACTGCATAATATTAATTTGTCCATCAAGATTTAAGGTATAAATAGGAAAATGATCAGAACCCTTATTTGAAAATTATGAGTGGGATGCTAATGGTCTAATCCCATTCAATGGTCTAATTAAATTCTAATTTGATTCTTTGCTAAGCTAAAAAAATGGTAAAACTCAACATTTTAACTCTAGCTTACTAATAAAATGAGCCTGTTTCCCTCAAAAAGGGGAATTTTCCTTTAAACGGATAATGTAGTAAGATTGTTGGAGGTTAGTCTGAAATACAAGATCCATCTCTGAATGTCTTCCTATCTTGAGATCATGTAATTATGTGCCTGGACAGATGTTTTCCTTTCTGCTAATGTTTACTATGGTTGCAGATGGCTGATGAGTTCTCAGAATGATCCTTGCAGTTTGTTCTTATTGCAGCAAAGGAAGGAGGATGGTATTACTTGTTGCGGCAGAAAAAATAGCAGGATGGTATTTTTGGCTCAAGTCACGTTTTGTAGCCAACCAACAATTATTGTCCAGTTGCTGTTGCCAATCCATCCCAAATGATGAGCCCCTGTAAATGCTCATCGGCTCTCAGGTCACGATCAGCTGTCTTTTGAAAGATACTTGACGTGTACAAGCTGCTTTTTGATCTCTTGGGCCTAAAATGGTCTTGTGTTCCTCGATCACTTAGGCGCTCAGGATGAAAGGGGCTTCGCTTCTTGACACTGGCACAGAAGGCTCTGCATTTTTATCTTCAGATCAGAGGATTTCACAATGGTACAAGGAATCAAGATGTTTCCCCTGATGTCTGATCAAGAGATTTGGGCCTGAATCTGATACTGGCAGCTTAAATAAGTAATAAAAAATAGTCAAGCTGGATGGTTCAATAAAAACACAAGCATCTTCATAGAACCTTGTGCTCATAGGAGGGTTTTCAGTGAGCTGTAAGGTTAATTTTTCTTTTTCAAATGTTACGAAAAGTCAAGAATGGCAGCTAACTCTCTGCAACTCTCACATGGTCAACCAGTGAAGCTAAGGATGGCTGTGCCCTTCCGTACCTGAATGGGAAGGCTAGGTTGCTGCCGAAAGTGGTGTTAGTGAGACCAGCAGATGGCACTCAACCTGCTGTCTGCGTGGGTCTTAATGCCCCAGTGTATTGATGTGAACTCTATACTGCTCCGTAAGTGCCATCTTTTGGATAAAAAGTTGAACTGAGCTCCTGATCCTCTGTGGTCATTAAGAATCCCAGGATGTACTTCAAAAAAAGAGTAGGGGTTTAACCCCGGCATCCTGGCCAAACTTGCCCACTGGCGTCTGTCCATCAAGGTCTTCTAACCATCCCCATATCATAATTGGCTTCATCACTCTGTCTCCTGTCCATCAATCAGCTGATGTGTGGTGTGGTTTGTTTCTGTGTGCTCATAAAACTGTCAAGAGTTTAAACTGACAAGTATGTATATAAGTATATATTATAAATTGCATGCTAATGTTTTGAATGTCACTGGCGAAGTAACCAATGAACAATCTGTAAACGCTCCAACCTCTTCTGAAAAGGGGGCAGGAGCAACACCTTTTTTGGGATGCCCAACAAAACAGCATGTTTTCCTTCCACAATTATTACAATAAGCAATAACACATAATCAGTGAGGTATTTTGACATGGCAGACATATTCAGCAGAAATTTGAGCACTACATCTTGTGAAAAGTGCATAATACATCTCTTCTAATTTTTTATTTTTGTTTTTCTGAATTTTTTTATAAAAGCATTCATATTTCAGGCTTTTTTGACTTTTTGTTCCTTATTTATATCCTTGCAGTTTGTACTTAATTGCATTATTTCATTTTTTTTCTTCTCCTACCAAAAAATCTATTTTATTTTATTAAATGAGTTAAATGAAAAAGTCAGTAGCTAAAAAAAAACAAAAAAACGGTTGTTGGAAAAAAACATAAAAAACATTTGAAAAACATAAAAAACATTTGAAATGTTGTTTTGGTAATTCTAAAACGCCATAACCATTTTAGTAGTGGTGTTATTATATTATTAATCATACCTCCAGAATCAAGAGCGTCTGGGTCTCATGCCTTCAAACACCACCAGGCATTCATTGCATGTGGGCATTTGTCTTCTGAAGTAATTTATTAATTGAGGAAAAGATTGACTCAGCTTCTCCTACCGCAGCAAATTTTGCTTTTACTTTTGATATTTGGTGCTAGATTCTCAGGAAGTGACGATTTTGTTCTCTTAGACTACTTGGATGGAAATGCTGCTTTATTCGCATGTCTTATATGCGATTTTCAAGTTTTGTGCATAAATTTAATTTGCATCTTTGTTTAGAAACATAGCTGGTATTTGTATCAATTTCTATTTTATGTGTTTGTGAATAGATTAATTAGTTCACATAAGCTCTTACTCAAACAAAAATAGAGAAACTCAAAAAAGCTGCTATATGTGAATGCTTAAACCTGTAGTTTGTTGTTTCTTGTATTTGCAGCCACAGAGACCTGAAACCAGAGAACCTGCTGCTGGATGAGAAGAATAATATCAGGATAGCAGACTTTGGCATGGCTTCTCTACAGGTTGGAGACAGTCTCTTAGAAACCAGCTGTGGGTGAGTCATACTCTATCTTCCAACAGCAATTACCAGTAGACCTGAAACACTTGTTTCTCGTAAAATAAGCAGAAGATGCCTTCAGAAGTTAAATTGGCACTTTAAATTACATAATTGTGTTCAGGTTTCATTGGGCTAAAACATTACATTCTAATGGAATTTGTGGGTTAGTTCACCTAAAAATCTGTATTAAATCACTATTTACTCTCTCTCTCATGTGGTTTTCAGCATTTATGAATTTCTTTCTTCTGTTGAACACAAAAGAAGATATTTTTAAAAATGCAAATAAAAAAATACTATTAGGGATGCACCAATATGTATTTTTTGGCTGAAATTGATAACCAATAACTCTAATCAAGATTTGGAGGGTGATAACTGATATGCTACAACCGATAAATATAAATAATTCAAAATGTTGTATTTTTATACCATGAACAACTAATTTTTTTTTTAACTTCGTAAAAGTTCATAAAAATAATCTTATGAACTTAATAAATGCTCAAAGCAATAACTGCAAAATTGAAAGGTAATTATTTAGACCTATATTCATTTTATAATTACATAAATTAGCATGCCAAAAATAAATGATTTTCTTTTCTTCACATAACAGATTAACATGTAGCTTGACTGTTGCAGAAAAATAATAGGTTAAATACCAAAATGGGATTTAATTTACAAACAAGTAAAATAAATATATTTTTAATAAAATGAAAGAGCGAAGAACTTAAACTATTCAAATGTTGCTGAATGAAACTTTACAGTAATTACCATATGTAAAAATATGTAATGTCCGAAAAAGCGTTTTGAGGTGTTTTGATAGTTCAGAGCCACCGTTCAATATGAATATGCCGATCAAACTAAATACAATCCTACATCAACAACACATGGCTAGCAACACATTGATAATAACAAATAATCATATTAGATTACAAACAACTCAACTAGTTGTTTAGCACGTGTGCATCGCTGCTATTATGTTTACACATGGCATATTTTTCCTGAGGCGATTTAAACCAAAATACACAATGACACTCTTTTAAACAAATTTACAATAATAAGAAATACGGTAACTTACTGAGTTATTAACACACAGCTATACCACACAAAGTAAGAACGAACTATTAAGGTATAAAAAAGCTCTGTTATAGTGCATTGGACAAGTTTGAACAAGTTCAACTCAAGCATGTGCGAGGCAGCCAGTTTTGTACAATTACATAATCTATAAAGATATCGGCCTAATATTGACATTGAACAAAACGATAACATTAAAAATAGTATTTATCAGCCAATAACGATATGGCCACTAATATATTGTGCATCTCTAATTGCTATGGAAGTCAACGGGTACTATCAACAAGTATACTTTAAAATAACTTTTGGTTTTGGTTCAACAGAAGAACAAAACTCAAATTGCTTTTGAACAAGTGAAGGGTAAATAAATAATGACAGAGATTTCAATTTTGGGTGATCTATGTCTTTAATGCTATTCCAAGCTTGTCTTAAATAAGTTTTGGCATGAATTTGATAGTTGTATTTACATTAAAGGTCGATGTTGATTTAAAAAAAAAAACTAGCAATAGGATCATTCTGTTTGAAAGTCTTGTGCACTAATGCACCACTGATGGTGAAATGGCTCAGTATTAATAACTGAAATATCTGACTTCTAGCACCCAGACACAGAGGCACTTCCTGAACTGCTTCTATTAGTGAAAAACATGAACATGATGGCCTGACCTCGCTCTGGCTTTCGTATCCCCTGTGAATGTGTAATGCATGCCATTAGAGGCCCCATTATCAATGAAAACGAGAGGGCTAGGTGCCACGGAGCACAGCACATTATCACAGATAAAGATTAATCAAGACTTTAAAATCCTCCCTGAGTGACCAGACCATATCTTTGACTTGAGTCGGTGTACTTCGGCTCCTATTAGCCACCACTAAAATGGTGCCATGCTTTTGATGCTTTCTTCCGACAGAGGCATGTTGTAATTATCGATTGTGACTTTCCCATCTCTAGGCGCAGATATGACAGTTTTTAATTAAACGCATTCATCTTTAGCCCCTTCATATGCTGTCTGCCTGACACAAATGTATTCTGTTTACCACGGTTAATGGACCCAATTGAATTTGAAAGGGCCAGACCCCTTACATGTGAGAACAGGAAGGCAGAAGGAGCAACACTGAGCCTTGCAGTAATATCTCTGTGCCAGGCGTTTATTCATTTGTTCATCTTCGCCTAGCCAATGGACTGACCCAATTTTGAGAAAAGCTTTTGTAGAGAAAAGTATCTGGCAAGTTTGCAGCCCAGCGGTAATTTTGACCAAAGGGTTGGTTACATACTGTATAAAATGCCTACAAGTCCACTTGGAAATCCGGTAAATTTAATTAAGATCCCCCTCCAGAATTTCCATTCAAGTGAAACTAGATTACCCACAGTACAGTGCAAAATTCCCAAGTACCACTGGTCATATTTGGACCATTACTCTGGGTTTGACAATGACATCAAAGCAACATTTTGTTCTCTGAGGCAAAACCAGCCCTGACTAACCAGCACAAAGTTAGATTAGCTCAGAGTGAACATATAGAGAGAAAAACAGTGTATTTTTGCCTCTTTAACCAGCGTCCCTCAAGTCAGACCATCAGCGCTTGAGAAATAACAAAAATATCTTCAAAAAACCATGAACAACCTCTTGGTCTGTATGAGTAATTCTCTCCATCAGGGTCTTTTCACAACAGCTTAATCACCCCCCGTGGCTGCCTTGATTTGCCATATCAATCCTCCCTCATGTTCCTATCATAGGGGATATCCATGACACACATACAGAAAGCAGGCTTCTGCAGAAATATTCTCATTTCACTGCTAGAACTGTTACTGTGGTGTAGTTTGCAAGATAATGAGCTGGGGAGGATTTGTTTATCGTGCATCATTTCTTAATGTGGTTTTATTAATATTTTGACTGCTGGGGAATAACGTTATAAGGTCATAGTAATTATGTTCCGTCACAGGGGATCTGTTTTAATAGGGTAAAACCAATTTTGAGTCAATGTTTAAGTTGACATTCTTATTAGATAATGCATAATCTATAATAAACTAAAAATGTCATTTTTTTAAAGCATTAATGTTATATTATTCATGTACTGAGAACATTTTAACAGTAATGTATAATATCTGCCTAATTTTACACTGGAATGTGGCACAGAAACAATTTTTCAAGTTGTATTTAAAGGGATAGTTAAATACTTAAATAAAAAGGTGTCTATCAGAGATGTACCTATAGATGAGGGTTTTTCTTCACTATAGAACGTTTAAGAATATGTTAAAGCTGAAACTAAGGTACTTTGTAATTCATAAAATATAAGTCAATGGATTTTAGAACTTAGAGAGGGAAAAAAATAACACTTTAATTAAGGTACCAATTCTTACTAATAACTAGTGTCTTATTACCTGGCTATTATTAATATATTGACTGTTTGTACTTATAAAATACATATTCTGCATAATTTGATTGTAGCTTAATAACTATTAATAAGTAGGAGATTGTTGAGGAAAACAAAATCATATAATGGTTTGTGAGTAGCGAAAATTGTACCTTAAAATAAACAACATATAGGGAAAATATAATGAATACCTGGGGCTTCTGACAATACATGGAGTTCTTAAAGGGATAGTACATCCCAAAATTAAATTTCTGCCATCATTTACTCAACCTTCACTTGTTTCAAACCTGTTTGTGTTTCTGGTCACACTTTATTTTAGTGGTCTGTTTGTTGAATTAAGTTACATTGCATCTGCATGCCAACTAATTCTCATTAGATTGTAAGTAGACTGTTAGGTTTGGGTCAGGGTTGGGGTTAGGGTTAGTGTTAGTTGACATGTACTTGCAAACTTTCTTATAGTCAGATAAATGTCTGTTGAAAGAGCAGTAACAACAGATATTAAGCAGACAGTCTACTAATACTCAATGGACCATCAAAATAAAGTGTTACCAAGTTTATTTCTTGTGTTGAACACCAAAGAAGATATTTTAAAGAAAGCTGAAATCCTGTAACCATTGACTTGCATAGTATTTTTATTTTAAAAATAAATTATGAATGTCAATGGTTACAGCTTTTCAGCTTTCTTCAAATTATCTTCTTTAGCGTTAATAGAAACTCTTAGAAAGGTTTGGAAAGGTTTGGAACCCCTTGAGAGAGATTGAATAGTGAGTAATTATTATTTTTTTCAGCTGAACTATCTCTTTAAGAAGTTTAATGAACAGTCTGCACAAGAAACCTTATGACATTATATTATTAGAACATTATATATGTCCTACCTTTAAAAAGCCTCAACTGCAATTTGTGCATTATGAATGGCCTTTATAAAAATGTGCAAAACAAATGCATCTCTGAAATACCCAGACACACTTACAGAAACTATATTGCTTTGATTCATCTCTCATTATTTTAACAGTAATGGCTTATATTTCTTTCCATCCAGAACGAATGAGGTACCAACTGTGTATATCGGGCACAAAAGCGTTGAATTGGCTGAGCGAGAGCATGTTGCATTAACCACTTAATTTAGTATAAAGCCCTGCAGTTTGGTGCTGGAAACAGCAATAATAGCTTTCACCCACAGTGAGCAGTAGTTACGTTTTTTAAAGCATAGAACGTAAAGCATCAATACATACTTAATCTACATAATGCTTTATGACACTTGCGATGAAGAAACAGGCTTTTACGCACTATATAGAGAATTGGTGCTGAAAAATGGAGAAGTGCTTCTGATGATGTTCCATGCTGTTAAAATATATTACACAATTCAAATGATTACAGACCTGTTTTACACACTCTCTGCAGAAAGTCATTGCAGTTTAATGGTATATTATTGGATCATTTGACTACAGCATGCATAGGGTGTTTTGACAGTATGTCTGAAAAAATGGTGTGAAGATCCTCATGTACATCTCAGAGAGATGTTACTGAATTAGTTTACCGAATAAGTCCTCTAAGGGTTATTTTTGTCAAGCTTGGGTGAGACAAATGATGAAATATTGTCTTGTTTTCTTGCAGATCCCCTCACTATGCCTGTCCAGAGGTTATAAGGGTAAGTATGTGCTCTCAGTAATGGAGTTTCCACTGAATCTCTCACTCTATTTCTCCCATTCAAATGAGCTTTGTTGGCATCACAGTATTGCCAACGCATTGTTCATTACATAAATAATGAACTAACAGTTATATAATAAAAAGATAAATATTTCTGTGTGGAGTTTGCATGTTTTCCCCGTGTTAGAGTGGGTTTACTCCAGGTGCTCTGGTTTCCCCCACAGTACAAAGACATGTGCTATAGGTGAATTGAATAAACTAAATTGTCTGTAGTGAATGTGTGTGTGTGTGTGTGTGTGTGTGTGTGTGTGTGTGTGTGTGTGTGTGTGTGTGTGTGTGTCTGCGTGTGCATGTGCATTTGAGAGTGTATGGGTGTTTTCCAGTACTGGGTTGCAGCTGAAAGGGTATCTGCTATGTAAAACATATGCCGGAATAGTTGTCGGTTCATTCCGCTGTGGTGACCCCAGATTAATAAAGGGACTAAGCCGAAAGGAAAATTAATTAATGGATAATAATAATAATAATAATAATAATAATAATTATTATTATTATTATTATGATGATGATGATAATGCTCATGATAATTAATATTTTTATTATTATTATTATTTTATATTATTATTATTATTATTAGTAGTAGTAGTAGTAGTAGTAGTAGTATTATCTCTGTCGATAATAAAAATATGTTTATAAAATTTTCTGATAGGAACAGCTAAACTAACAGTGTGGAAACACTAAGAAATAAAGGTTTACAGTTAGGTCAATCCAGATCCTGAAGAAATGTTGAAGTAGTTAATAACAGGAGGTTAAAGATGGAATTTGCATATTATAAGTTGACAAATAATTGTGTGTTTTTTGTGAAATATGTAAATTATACAAATAACAGTGTAGTTAAACATTCTCTCTCTCCCTCTCTCTATCTCTCTCTGTCTGACAGGGGGAGAAATACGATGGCAGGAAAGCTGATGTATGGAGCTGTGGAGTCATTCTCTTTGCACTTTTGGTGGTGAGTGAGAGCTTTCCATGGCAGAGACTTCATTTTGTGTCAGATAATTCTACTGTAATGTAGACCTGCTCGTATGACAAATTTGAGCCGCAGTCTCTCTCCCAGCAGCATGTAATGGGGAAAAAAGAAATCCCCTGTATCTGTATAATAGCCTTATCAGGGGATGAGGGAGAATCCAGATGAGGATACTTCAATGCTACACTGTAAAAAGTGCTACACTCACAAAGTTGGTTCTATCTACTTTAAATAATTGCAATCTAGTTAATTTTATTTGTTTTATACCAAAAAAATAAAATTTGCTTCCTCTTTACTTAAAATATATCAGTTTTTATATAACTGTATATTTTGAATAAAACTAATGCAATTTATTTGAGTAGATTTTTGTACGTGGTTATTGTGTAGAATAAATGTTTTAAAAGTGAGTTGACACAGACAATTTATTAGAGCAGCTGTCGATGTGGGCAGGTGTTCATAAAACGTGATTTTAATAGTTTGGCGTGACTCCTTTTTCATTGCCCGGGATTTAGCAGGCAGACGCAGCTTCTGCAATGGTCGACATTAACTGCTCCCAGCAGCGGATCTGATTAACACGGTAAGTTGCAAATTTAGCCGAATGATAATTGTAAAGTCATGCAAAACTGCTGTCTTTGCTAGGCAGGTGAGGTTTTAGCTTTGTAAATTGTACTGTAGCCTCAGGTATGTTAACAGTTAACTTAGACTGCTCTCACATGGAAAGCTAAGTTGGCTAACGCTAACCAACGCTAGTTTATGCTAACGAATAAAAGTGATATTATTGAGAAAAATAGTGAAAGTAGTTTTAAAACACTTAGTAGGTATAACTAACGTTGCAGAACCGATTAACAAGGTCACTGGTGGGCGGTCGGGGTGTGGGGGTTCAGTTTGTTAGCGCTAACTTGGCTAAAGTTAGCTCACCTAAGTTATAGCAGCACATTAAGGATGGATATTAAATTCAGAAACGTATGCAACAGTTAAGTAGTTTGTGTTTAACGTAAGAGAAAGTATAACTTAAAGTTTGTGTTTTAGAGATTTAGTCCATAAGTTTTTTAATGCTGCATAGTGAATAAATTACAGATTTACAATTTATTTTAACTTAAATTACATTTACTACTGATGTTTACAGAACCATTTAAATTGTATGCACCTCATTCTAAAATGCATGTTCTTGGTCTTTAGATACCAAAGTGATTTTGTTACTGTGGATCTTCAAACTTCACATCCAGGTAAGAAAAACATTAGATACAATTACAGCTATAATTATTTGCAGGTAAGTAAAACATTGGTAAAATTGCAAACAATAGTGGGCTCCATAGAATTAACTTACATTTGATATCTGAAGATTTTTTTATGTGTGCAACAGTAAAAACAGTATAAAAATATCCTAATGCAGTTTCTTATTATCTGTCAGTCTTTCAATAAAGCTAACTGATAACACTGAATCACTGAACTGTCATTTGCCAGTGACATTACATTTGAAGAAAAAGTCAATTAAATGTAGCTTTAGCAAAAATTTAATGTAAACCTTAATGTAATGTGTAAAATGGCAATGTATTTATTTATTTAATAAAATTTGTATTATGCAAAGTTTGGTGCAAAATAAAGATGACAATTAAATTATAGAATTTGTATTCTATAATTTTTATATAGCCATTTTCAAACAGTTTTAATATCTAAATTAAATACACATTCTTATGCTTTATAAGTTGCCAAAATAAACAAAAAATATAATACCTAAATTTTAACAATTCTTTGATTGACAGGAAACCACAATGACATGCACTGTTACACTGAGTAAAATCACAGTTTTCTTTAAAATTTGATAACTAAAAACACCTGGAATAATGTAATTACACAACCTCTATAACCTTTTTTTATTTTTTAAATAGAAGTTAGGTAATTTTAACTAAGGTAATTTTTAACTGATAAACTAAGGTGTTTCATCCATGCATCATTCTCACTGGACTTTTGTAACTTCACTTGTAGTTATTTTCTATTTAGTATTTAGCTATTTAATGTTGTTTGGTAGCAACCACCTGAACTCCTGTTTCTTTTTGTCTCTACCAATAGAGTTGTGAGGAATCAGAGGTGCATGCGGCTGCCCACGGGAAAAATTTGCCATCAGCCCAACACAGTTTGGATTATCATAGGACTGTCAGAGGTTTGCCAAACCTGTCAAATGCATGATGGCTCCTGTTTGGACTTACCGATGTCCTCGACTTCAAGTATCCATCAAAACTGTATACATTTGAGATGTATTAGAGACTCTTTGTGGGACTGGACATTATGCATCCAAAATCTTCATCAAAATATGCAAATCTCCTCACTGAGTTGCCTTGGATGATTTCTCAATAGGATCTGGTATTATTAATGTTTTTATTTATGTATTGTGTATGTGTAGCCACATTAATGGCCTGTTTTGTAGTCACTATTAAAAGGAACATCGATTGATATTGAATACATGTTATGGTCTTTAATCCATCTTCCCATTCTTATTTAATTGTTATTGACAGGAAAGTCTGTTTATCTGTTTTTACTAGTGTATATTGTGCTTACAATAAAGAAACGAAGATTTATTTTCTGAGGTTACAGCCAGAAGTCAATTAAATTAGTTTTAAATGACATATGCATGGTTAATTTTATTTAGATCATTAAGTTCATAATACTTAATTAAAATGAGTACAGTCAACATATAGCAATGTATAAGTAAGTTAAGTTTAACAAAAAAAGTAAGTTTATCTGATTTGAGTAATTTTAGAAATATTAGTTGGCTCAACTTAATTTTATTGCATTTGTTTTAAGCAATGTTTTAGTGTTTAAAATACTTAAAAAAGGCTGGAAGTTGAATCAACCTAAAACGTCCGATGCAACCACTTGCCTCACTTTTTATAAGTTAGATCTAAGTAACATTTTTTACAGTGTAGTTAATCAGCTAAGCAAGAGTTGGCTTTTAGGAGAATCAAGGTGTTACTGGCCCTGTATTCTGAGCTCAAAAGATTGACAACACCAAAGCTCCACCATGGTTTCTGTCTCCAGTCGGGGAATCATCTTTATACCAGACATGAGAGAGATCGACTCTTTTTATTCATCATACTGAGCGTTTCATGAACCCGCTTTTATCTTCTTACTCTTCCTTACTTAGACTTTAAAAGATTTCAAGTACTTTCAAGGAGGAGGGAATTAAATAATGATTCCAATGCCTTGCTTTTGTCAAACACAAATCTCACATCGGGGTTGGTAAGAATTTGTGTTTATGTTTTTAAAAAAGTTCTCCAAGGTTGTATTTTGTTTATAAAGAATATTATTTTGAATGCAATCGATCTGATAACAGGTATGAACTTTGTGCTTGGAAACATTTCTTGTTGATATTGCAGCTAATATTGTTGTGTTGATCAACACTTGTATATTCACATAAAAATGTAATTTTGATTTTGATTTTGATGATTAAATTGACCTGCATTAGACTTTAAATTCTGTAAATCACAAAAGATGATGACATGAAAACACTTTACAATTACGTTATATTATTTCACTTTAATTAATGTATACACCACCTGACAAATTTCTTGTCGTCGATCCCAGTTGTAAGAGCAACAACTAATAACTTGACTTCTAGTTGATCATTTGGAAAAGTGGCAGAAGGTAGACAATGAATCATCAGTTTGGTGAAGGGAAAATCATGGTTTGGGGTTACATTCAGTATGGGGGCGTACGAGAGATCTTCACAGTGGATAGCAACATCAACAGCCTGAGGTATCAAGATATTTGTGCTGCCCATTACATTATAAACCACAGGAGAGGGCAAATTTTACAGCAGGATAGCGCTCCTTCTCATACTTCAGCCAAGGTCAAGGTGCTCCAGGATTGGCCAGTCCAGTCACCAGACATATATTATACTGAGACTAATATTACTGAGCATGTCTGAGGTAAGATGAAGGAGGAGGCATTAAAGATAAATCCAAATAATCTTGAACTATGACAGTCCTGCTAGAACACTTTCTTTGCCATTCCAGATGACTTTATTCATAAGTGATTTGAGTCATTGCAGAGATGTATGGATGCAGTCCTCCAATGTCATACACAATATTCATTCTTTTTCCACTGCACCATGACTTTACATTTTATATTGGACATGATTTATGTTAAGTGACAAGACTTTAGTTTAAGCAAAGTCAGAGCTTACTGTCCTAATTAAATCATTAAAAATCAAGGCATGATCATATTTTATTTTGGTAAAATAAGTGTGACATTGAGGCCTTTGCCTTTCATATGAGCTACTTCTGATACTACTGTAAATGATTGACTAGAAGTCAAGTTAATATTTGTTGTTCCTAAAACTTGAATTTGAGACAAGACTTTTGTCAGGTAGTGTTTACAGGGAAAATAAAATGAATACCTGTGGCTTCTGACAGGCGACAGACTTAGATTGTTTTTACTGTATTTTACTTTTTTTTTTTTTGATACGGTCAATAGATGAATAGTAGTCAGTCCAATTTATTTTTTTGTCATCTGTTTTCCTGTACAGGTTTATTTATTAAAGAAAAGGCCAAAATACTCAGCAGTTGTAAAAAATACCGGAAGAATCCAGTAGCTTTGAATCTGTGTGTGTTTTAAAAAATAAATAAAATATATATTATTATATATTATATTTTTAATTCTCTTTATATATATATATATATATATATATATATATATATATATATATATAGTATAAGAATATTAGTAGTATAATAGTATAATCAAAATAAATGTTTTGCTAATAAATAAAGGTTTAAAATAAGCATTTTCTCTAGACAATCAGTTTACGACATGGCCCCTTAAACGTTTTCGGAGAAGGAGGTTGGCCTCGAAGTGAAAAAGGTTGAGAACCCCTGAACTAAGCCACATTGAAAGCATGAACATTTCAATCTAAATGAAATGCAGTATGTGATCAGAATCTATTCATCACTTTTAGCAAATTTTACAGTGCTTCTGACAGGTGTCACTGCCTTCACCTCACACTGATTGGCTGCCATCCTGCATTTTTTTGCTTCTCATTTGCATGAAGTTAAACGTTTCTTAACTTCCTGACATTCTGACTGCCTATTCAGCTCCCCTGTCAATCCCACACTCCCTCATGCAAACCTCGCCTCCAGCTCCAGTATAGGGAAACAAACTGAAAATCATCTCTGTTTATCTTGGTGCCAGTGGACACGTATGGTCACGCCAAGCCGTTGATCAACTTGAGAACTTTCTTATCCGTTCTTTTGTCGTTTTTCCTTTATCAAACAACTGAGACAAACGGCAGTAGCTTATAATTAAATCACTCCGAAACCAAACATCAAGCCCTCTGATTCTCTGACGGCAGAAGGCTTGCTTTGAGTCCGGATAATCAAGCTGGTCCGAGTGTAATTACTGTTCAAGACCATGAGCTCGACACAATTCCAACCCAGAACCGTTTGCCCCAGCGAAATTGAAAAGCCAATTGATTTCCTGTTCTCTTTTGTGTTTGTGCGCTCCATTATAACCGCATCCTCTTCACAAACCAATCCAATTATTCCTGCATATCCCAGGAATCTGTTCTTTGATCTTTCATTGCTCGACAACCTTTTATTAGCGATGCAGTCTGCATCCCCCCCTTTTTTATTTGTTTATCTACTTTGCTAGTTTTTGCTTGATTATATCATCTGTTACGCGATCCTGTCGTCAGTCATGCTTGTGAATTTTCTGTGTCATTTATCAAGCGCTGACATCTCAGTAGTGTCAGGGGCCCTGATGGGTCTCTCTGATGTGAAAATGATGAAGTGTATCTTGTGCAAAACAAAGCTAATTATCTAAGCACAATCATCTCTCTGTGCCAGACTTTTTTTATTTATACTGCGTCCTACTTCCTATGTAGATCTGCTTCATAAAACTCTGAAATATAGATGGGGTGCTTGCTCTTTGTCAAAGTATTCGTGACTTGTGTGCTTTCAGTTTTTACCATTATTTGTTTAGAAACACACAAATGCCACTTTGTAATGCCACATTCAAGTTGAAACAGCATGCAAATATAAATGAATACAACAAGAAGTCACTGTTTATAAATTTACTCAGAACTTTGGGGTGAGTAGTATGTGACATGGTATGATACACCCTGTAATGTTGCATAGGTTTATTTTTGGGAATAGGCAAAATACATTGTCTAAAGTACAGATTTTTTTTTCTTTTATGACAAAAATAATTAGAATTTTATATATATTAAAAAAAAATCATGTTTCATGAAGACATTGGGTAATTTTTCTACTAATTGAGTAATTTTTCTTCTGTAAATATATAAAAATTCAACCATTGATTCGTTATGTGCTTTGTTAAGCACTTAATTTGGTCAACTTTCAAGGCAATTTTCTTAAAAAAATTTTTTTTATATTTTTTAACCATAATAATCCAGACTTTCCATAGTTTTAGCCTTTTTTTTGTCTCAACAAACCATAACCCAATGAAAAGCTTATTTATTCAGCTTTCATGTGATGTTTTAATCTCAGTTTCATTAAATTGACACTCTTGACTGGTTTTGTGGTACATGATCAAATTAAAATATATAGTTAAAATTATCTCATGAAACTAATTTGTTAGTAGTTGACAAACAGGGTTATCTAGTACAGTACACCCCATGTGAACCACATGTCAGTATTGACAATACATAAAAATTATATATATATATATATATATATATATGGAACAGTGATAATTCTCTTTTTTTTTTTTTGTTAAAAATAAGTTCAAAAGTTCACATTTAGATATTGCTTGACGCCATTAGCAGGTTTGGCATGCTGTCCCGGGAGAGAATCCTAAGCTCGGAGATAATTGAGCCCAGGGCTCCCAACTAGTCAATAAGCAAATAAGGGGTTTGAGATCTAGTAGGTCTGAAGAACTGCCCCTTGTAAAGGGAGGAAAAACAGGAGATGGTGTGAAAGGGGGGATTCTTCCAAAATGAAGATAAGGTAGTAGGGCGAAATCTGTCTATTTAATGTAAGCTTGAATCAGTCTGATTGGATTATTGCTGATTATGGATGAGAGGCCAGCTACGATCAATCATAGTACATGCTCCTCGCGAAATTAGTTAGTAAAACCTCACTTATAGTGACAGTAAAAAAAAATTGAATATATAATATAATGTAAACATTCACAGAAAAATAAACAAATGATCAAAAGCCTATCTACTATTGTGTGCTCAGTTTAAGAAAACATGGATAAAAAATGTTTACTTCAAGTATCCTACCAAGGATTATTTTGTATTCTTCATCCAAAATGGGACAAATATATTAGAGGTCTGAACCTGGTCTCATAGTTCAATTCGGTTAAGATCATGCCATTGATTTGGTTCAATTCTAGTATTCTACCTTTTTTTTAACAATACAATCATAATAACCATAACAATGGATTACATCAAGTACAACAATAAACAAGGAAAATTATTATTAATAATAATAATAATAATAATAAAGAAAGATTATAAAAACAAGGTACAGAGGCAAAATATCAAATTAAATAATATTTACAAATTTCTTATATAATTTCTATGTTTTCACACTTTTTCGCTATAAACATTTTGTAAAGTAGTAATTAAACAAGTCACAAAGACAATTCTGCAACTTAGGTAGTGATGAAGAAAATTTACATTTGTGAATATAATATTTACCCAATAAAAAAAAAAAAAAAAATATATATATATATATATATATATATATATATATATATATATATATATATATATATATATATATATATATATTGCCTATAAATTCTATTTTATGTTTGTCCTGAGAAAAGTAACAAATTATATCACACATGGAAAAATAAATGTTAATTTTATATTTTTTAAATAAAAAAGATGGATAAATTAGACCAAAACATTTTGACATGTGGGCATTTGACAAAAAGATGATCAATCGATTCGATAATTTAGTTACAGAGGACGCAGTTTGAATTAGGATTACCAAATTTAGATACCATCTCATTTGTGGGGTAGATATTGTGTAACAAATTTAAATGTACTTAGTATTCCACCGTGACATAGCGCATATGAGATAAATGTCAGAGGAGAATAACCTGCGATTATCTATTACTGAAGCGATATCGAATTGTTTGCGTCTGCATCACGATGCACAGAAGAAACTATTAATTTTGACACCCCTAAAATATATTATTACAGAGTGTTATGCTAGTTTTGTTTAAGCAGGGGGCAACTTTCCAGAATATTTGTGAACTTGATAAAGATATGAGCTAGTCATATGTTTTAACTGATGAAACAGAGAGAATCAACATCAACACTATTGCAGCAAAAAATGTGTATTTGTGTTCTTCAAGTCCAAAAATTAAGTGTCTTTTTTTTCTTAAAACTAGCAAAATAACTTGTCAGTGGTGTAATTAAAATACATTTATTTCAAATCAAGTAAAACAAAAACAAATAGTTTACTCAAGCCATTAGCCAATTATAGAAAAAAGCACTTAATTTTGACTTAATGTTTCAAAAAACACACCACTATTTTTACTTGTCTAGAAAAGGTTATTTGATTTAACAATTTTAGATATTTGGATTGAAACAAGACAATAACTCTTAGTAAGAACAGCTTATTTTGCAATGCATTTTTGAAAGGATTGTGTGTCTTTCAGTATACAATAAAAGCTGGTTACGTAGCTGACTTGTACTGTATTTCTCTATGTCAGGGTGCTTTGCCATTCGATGACGATAACCTGAGGAATTTGCTGGAGAAAGTGAAGCTCGGGGTCTTTCACATGCCCCATTTCATCCCTCCAGACTGCCAGAACCTCCTGAGGGGGATGATCGAGGTGGACGCCACCAAAAGGCTCACGGTTAGTAATAACATTCTCATTTCTGACAATTTCATAATTTACTATCATAATTCAAACCGTTTCCTTGATGCTAAAATAGTTTCTAAATCAAAAATCATCTTCATCCTAAAGGACTGTAGTGGGGAATCACAGGAGTTCAGATTACCTGTGTTATCCTCCTATTTATATGCACATTTATGGAAAATTGCATACAAGAATGTTTAATGGAAATGACAGGATTAGCATAAGAATTGAGCTTTTTGAAAATTTACATAACTGAGTAAGAAAGACTTTTTATCTGATAAGAAAAAATAAGCTATAATGGAAACACATTTACCTAATAAAATCCAGCATTGGCATTAATAAGTGATGCGATTTTGCTTTAACAGATAGGTCATTATCCCTTTTAAAGTGCCTTTGAGATGTCAGAATTTTTTTTTAAAAAGTTTGAGATTTTTGATTTAACTAAATAGTTGTTGTATTAATTAGACCTTAGGCGGTAAGAAATTAATGTTGGTCAAGCTCCTGCACTTTTTATAAATAAACTGAAAGCCGACAAACAGTAAATAAACCTCAAATTATAGATTTGGGAAAAAGTCTATTTATAATAATGAAATCATGGACAAAACATTTTATTCTCAATAAAATATGCAATCGTTGCACATTCTTTTCAAAATACAACCCAAGTATTGCATCTTCTGGTGTAGTATGTGTGTGTTGTAACATAAATAAAATAAAAACATTAACTAATTAACAATAAAAAGAGAAAAATAAATAAAGTGTCAATAGAGGACATTTTTTATCTAAAGATAGGATTTATTCAATACAGATTGTACCTGCTGCTGATAAAGTGTTTTTCTATTTAAGCTCTTTGTACACAGTTTAAAAGCTATATTTACCATTTCAGAATTTTTTAAATATTAATTATTATTTTACTATGACAGGTGAGCATGTTAAGCTTGATAACTTTCAGTTTCAAACACAATTTTTTGTTGTTGTTTGAAACAACAACAAATTGTTGTTGTTTGTTGCTCTTTTGGAGCGCAGATGCTTTTTCTTGAGCATCTGCGCTCCTAAAGAACGTGAAAGTGGTGTGCCTCTAAAAGTCACACAAGTCAGTTATTAAATAAGAAAAATAACCTAGAGGGACTTTTCCTAAAGCAGAAAAAAAATTCTTCTTGATATTTGGTGCCAGTTTATTAGAAAGAAATATTTATTTAATAAAAATAATTCACCAATGATTCATGCAATATGCATACATTTAATTCACTTATTTGGATGGAAGCATAGCTAGTGCTGCATGTGCGCCACACTGTCTACAGATGCTGGTTTGCTGTGCAGCTCCACAGACATTTACAGTGTATTAAGCTGATTTCTATTAAATAAGTGTTACGGGTCTGAGAGCTCTTCTGCGTTTCAGCTGTCACTTCAGGTCAACACACAGCAGAACTAATCCAACCAGCTTGTCTGTCCGGATCTCACACATTAGTTTCAGAAAGCCTGTGTGTCTGCGTCTCCGTCTATCTCTTTCTTACTCTCTTTCATGGTCCCCTCATCTCTCAGCTCTTCTCCCTCAGCAATCGCTTTCATTGTGGTGCTTCGGAGCAGCCCCCCTTTCCCCTAAAACATACTGAAGCGACAAGAGGTTTATAAGCTCGTCCTGACACCAAGCCTTTGAAATGCTTCAGTTTCCCTTTTTTTTTTTTTGGCTTTCCAGAGAAAACAGATAGCTGTCTTCACTGCCCACATCTCTTAGTGATTGAAAACAATAGTGCTCTCCTAGGATGGATTCAAACATAGCTCATTTCCTGTGCGGTTTGTCAGTTATATAAAAGAGATCTTTTGTATGTTCCAGAGTGGGAAGGAAGTCGATACTGTCTTATTGCCAGTTTGAAATATTATCTAATAGTTTCAATTAAAATGATCCAATAGAGTATTGCACAGTACTGAGCGTACCGCAGTTTTACGCACATATGGACTATGTATCACAATTGTTTCTTGAACGCTGTCAATGTCAGCACGCGTTGACGGCGTCGTTTATCTGCACTCATTTTGAGTCGGAGCACCAAATTCTCTAAAGGAATTTAAAGGCCTTCAACATCTTTGATTCAATTGGCATGGTGCATTTCATCATACAGCAGTTATTTCATCATCATTTGATGAATTACTGCTGCCATCAACAGAAGAAAATGTTGTTATCTTTAGCTGTATAGCACTTTATACAATAGAGTGTGCTAAAGCTGCTTCACAGAGATAGACAGGAAAATACAGTGCTCAGCATATATAAGTACACCCCTCACAAATCTCTCTTTTAAATTCATATTTTTTATAGAAATAACTAAAAATATTATATGTGTGCATATGCATTAGATTAGTCAATGCTGAAGACATATCTGGAGCTTATCCAACAAAATAACCTACAATAACGGTCCAAAAACTAGTACAGCCGAATGTATATGTTATTGACAAATATAAAATTTTAATTTAAAAAAGAGAAAAATTAAGAAAAGCAAAAACACAAAAACAAAATGTGTTTTTCAATATTTTGCTTAAATTTAATTGTATTATCTTTCAATTTCTAAATGTGTTTGGTGACTAAAATATTATTTCAATAAATATATATGTTTAATAAATCTGTTTTGTTTAAATGCACCCAAATACATTCCCTATATTTACTGGGAAATGGAGGAAAATATTCATTTTCAAAATGGGGTGGGGTACAATAATAATGTATAAGATAATAAGATAATAATAAATATAATAATAATAATAATAATAATAATAATAAGAAGAAGAAGAAGAAGAAGAAGAAGAATGATGTAGTGATGAGTGTTTACCAAAACCATAGTTTCTCTGTCGCAAATCTATCGTTTGAACCACGTTAGTTATGACGTAAAAAAATAACCTCATAATTTTTTTGTGCAGTTATATTGTTTTACATGCTCCCGCATTTTTAAAAACTCAATATTAGTTTTGGTAAAAAACATGGACTCGTTTTCCATATTAATTGTAATATATGTAAACAACACATATAGGACCAATGTTTCCTTTACAAATATTTTTAAGAACATTACATATATTATTCTAAAACATAAAACCACTTACAAAAAGTTACCACATTATAATCTCATGTATAAATCATATAAATAAATAAATAAATAAATAAATAAATAAAGGATATTTAAAAATAAATTGAATTTAATATTTTATATTTATTATATATATTTTATATTTTATTTATTAGGAGTTGTTTTATTAATATATTTATTTCATTATTATTAAGTAGGATATTGTTTATTTATTTAGTTTTTTATTTATGTTTTTGAAAAGTCTACTTTTACAAATTGACACATTCAAGATACTGCATGGTCTAATCAACAGGCCCATGTCATGTACAGTACAGATACATTTCCTAATAAATAACCTATAAATTAAAAGCATTAACGTATGCTATGTTTTTTGTTTTCTCAAGCTTTGTAGGTGTAACGTAAATTCTGCTTTTGAATAATAGGTCACCTATAGCTTTCGTCATGAGCCACTTCATGTGTTCTAAATGGCATAAATGTTTTCAAACTGCATCATAAAGCCAACGCAATTGTCAATATGAAGATAGCTAAAACTGAACTGCAAAAATATTTGAAAAGCAAATGGAAATGCCAAATCAATAAAGTATGTTGGTAATGATGCAACTTGTGACCTTAGTTGGCTACAAACTGATGAACTTCATTGTTGTTGTTTACTAAAATTGCTTTTAAATTAATGGTTTTCACACTTTGTGCCTACAAGTCCCCCTATTGGCCTTAAGTGTGTTTGCATGCACATCTTACCCTGATTGTGCTTAATAAGCTGACAAAGGGTTATGTAAATATGCTAAAAAACATCTAGATTATTGCCTATAACCCCCGGTTTCCTCCAGCATGTAAACACCCTAATCAGCACTCGACTTATTGAAGCATGCAGACACCATAAGTGTTTTCTGAGTAGAGAAGTTAATATATTGCAAACATTCTTTATTGACTCAAGGAAGTATATATATAAAAAAATTGGTTCTCATCTCATGCAGACAGTGGTGAAGTGACAAGTGGTAAAGCTTCAAATTAGACAGGAGAATATGTGCAGGTTTCTCATTAAAATAAGAAATGCAGTGATTTTTCAGTTAAGTTTGGTTTAGCTAGTATGTGCTTATTTTAATGCCTGTTTAGCCTAATTTTAAATCAATTTGCAAATTTGAAACTCGATTGGAAGTTTCCTAAGGCTACTAATAGGCTTCTTTTCCCCTTGTTGATTTCAATTAAATACAAATTCAATTAAATATACCATCTGACATCAATTGTGCTATGCAAATTTCACATTTGTGAAAAAATAAATGTACAGTTAAGCTAATTTACATAGAAAAGAGCACTGACAACTGGATTTGGCTAGTGAAATTGGTTTGCATTATAGTACTGCATGGCAAATGAAATGAATTTTACCTTCAGTATTTACAAGAGCCAAATTATTTTCAACCCTAAATGCAAACCAAAAAATATTGCATAAAGGACATGTCCGAATCCACCTACTTTGAACATTCCAGTTTATAGTGTCATTCCTCACTGTCTGTGGATGAGGTCAAGTGCTGAGTGTTTGCATCTTCTGAAAGGACATGCAAACTCATGTTTTGTTGAATGAATTGCTAAAAATGGTGACACGGTGGCTCAGTGGTTAGCACTGTCACCTCACAGCAAGAAGGCCGCTGGTTTGAGTCCCACCTGGAGTTTGTATGTTCTCCCCTTGTTGTGCATGTGAGAGTGTATGGGTGTTTTCCAGTGTTGGGTTGCAGCTGGAAGGACATCTGCTGTGTAAAACATATGCTAAGTTGGCGGTTCATTCATGAATAAAGTGACTAAGTCGAAAGAAAATGGATGAATGAATTACTAAAAATGATGATTTCACTTATTAGCTAACGTTATCCCTGATGGAATTCTGCAATAACACAACAACCTCTCCCCCTGTCTGCTGCGAAGGCTTCTGTTCTTGTTCTTTGGGCCACAGTTTAATTTGTTTTACTGCTGGAGTGTACATGCCTTTGTATCTTCCACACCTAAACACAATGAGATCAGTGGATGCGACATGAGAGAGATTGGAGACGGCCAGCAGCTCAAAGATGGATTCACTGCATTTATTGTGATCCTCTGTTGCCTTTCTTTGGCCTGTTAATGGTTTGGCTCATGTGTTTTGTTTTTTTCTGTCTTTACAGTTAGAACAGATACAGAAGCACACATGGTACATGTAAGTATATACTTCACTTTTTTGTTTGGATTCATATGTCTGTCTTTGCTCAGAATCTGTCTGTGTGTTTATTCATGTGCATGTATTTTCTGTATATGTGTGCTGTAAATTCCTCTGTGTAACGTTCTAGAAATGACGACTCTGTGGATCTCTAAATAATGTCATGACTGAAGTGTGTGTGTTGTTTGTGTGTGTTTAGACAAGAGCCTTAAGCTCCAGCAGGCTGGCTTCACTCAGTGTTTGTGCCTCCCCTAAGCAATGCTTTGTTTTTATCTTGAACTGCTTCATTTTTCAACACATATTCCTGCAGTATCCAACTTTTTGTATTAGTCATGATTTGTGACTTTGGCCTTAGGGTTCTTATAGTTTTTATCTCTTTCTTACTCTCTTTCTCTCTCTTTCACTCTCTCTTTCGCATTCTCTTTCTCAGCATTTCTTTTCGATATAGTTTTTTGGCTAAATAATTACATTTTTCAGTGATGCCTTGTGTTATTAATGTCTAGAGGCCTTTTCTTGTTTAATGCAGACTGATTGCTAAAGTTTTATTGTATTCAAGTTTGCTTTGGAGTAAAATATGTCTCTATTTTAATGATCTAAGCGCAAAGTCTAAATCAATTTTGCAAAAGCATTAAGGACATGTCTGAATCCACTTTGCTATTTTCAGGACGACAAAACATGCTCTGCGTCCCGGCGCATGGTCTAACAGGGTAGTGCTTATTCTCTTAATGACTTATGGGTGTGTTTTCAGCATAACCTGCATTAATCCAATCAGTGTCTAATCTCCTATTCCCTTTAAGTTAGTTGCGTTGCATTTGCTATTTACATTGTTAGTGGCAAAACTGAACACTTCACTAGCAAGAAAACAGTTAAACAGACCATCTGAAGCTTCCTCTATTTGACCCCTTTACTTTCTCTTTACTTTGCTTTTACTCTTTACTTTACTCCTTTACTTTTATGGAGTAAAGAAACGGTGTAAACATCCATTAGCCTACATATTTAATTTAGTTAAGCACAAACATTTGTTTCAATCTATTTCTAAATTTAGTTCTAATTTCCAGCAAAGGAATAAATAAACAATAATAACAAAGTGTGGTCAACAAACTGAGTTATATCCAAACACACATCCTATTCTAATGCCCCATATGGTGATGCATACCTCTCCCAAATCCGACAGGTGGACAAATACAAACTTGTTTTTTTTATTATTAAAAATATGCATATATAAATATAAATAATATAATAATAATGCTAATAATAATATTAACATTATACAAAAGCAAACTGATGAATAAACTAAAAAAAAAAACAGAGGTGAAGAAGGCATGGAGGTAGTGGTTGTTATATTTATGTAGAAATAATATTTTTTTGTAGCATATCAATCCTTTAATTTTTTTCATATGTAAAGACATGTGTGTATTGCTGTACATCCTGTGTGTATTAAGCAATGTGTATGCGTTTTGGACCTGCAACAAACTTTAGACCAGCTTTTAGTTGGTCAATGGTCTATTTCAGCTCCTCAAAATAGCAACACTCCAACAATGATGCTCCTTTCTAGACCGGCACACCCATGAGTCCACAAAGTGACGCAAACGGATTTACTATTTTAACATCGTGGCACAAAACATGAAAATTACAGTTGAGCTGGTCTGAAAATAGCAACAATTTGGGCCAAACACGTTTTGCAAATGTAACATCTTCAGGTTTTTTTTCCTGTTAAATAGGCTATGTATAGAATTCAGAAACCCTTATTATTAGCAACAACGGTGGCCATTAAAGGAACTGCAGCTAGTAACTTATGCTCTCATTTACATTCACATATTACATTTGCATGTAATGTACTGAACGCGATCCAGTGTACGAGCACAGTCACAGCAAAGGTATAATTCTTTCTTTGTTTAGAAGTATAATTTGGAAATAACGTTTGCCGTGATTGGCTGATAACCAATTTTCATACTGTATGCCGAGTGTGATATAAATATACAGTAAATGTGTGCTGCATGCTTTCCTCTCAATAACAATCATGTTCATGTTATATTTTATTATAGCAACTAGAGTTCAAATAGATAGCAGCATTTAGGCCTCCACAGACAACAACAATGTCAAGTCATATCATCTTTATTTTTATAGCTCATTTTACAATGTACATTGTGCTAAGACAGTTTAACATGAAGAGATTAAAAAGCGATAGCATTATTAGAGATTTGGAAGCAGGAGTGTAGTGGTAGAATAATGGTGTAATTGTAGCTAAGTTACAATTCAGTTCAGTTTAATACTAATGTCACTGTTGAGGATGTGATGGTTTTGTTGTTGTTGCTGTTGTTGTTGCTGCTGCTGTTGTTGTTGTTTTTGTTGTTGTTGTTGTTGTTTGCTTTTGTTAGAAGCTGCTCAGTCCTTGTTAGTGTGACCACATTTGTAAAACATAAATAAATTAAAATGACTACATAAAAATCTGTGCATAATTATTTTAATTCATTTAATTGAACTTAATTAATTCAGTTTTCAAGTTAGTTTTCATACTTGATATCACTGCTTCTTTGGACTTTTTCAACACCTCCTGCTGGAGAAAATCAGCTTCTGAATGGTGTTAAATTGAATCATGTTTTAATCAATGAGTTAATCTGAACTGAATGAAAACATTAAGCAAAGCATTTGGCAAAATATTAAATAAACAAACTCACAGGGAGCTGCTTCATTTGCAGATTGATGTGCGTTTCTAATCTCCAGGGCTTTCAGTGGGGGCCTTTTTTCATGGCACCAGCAGCAATGATCCCAGAACATGCTGGAGGCGAAAACCATGTGTGCTCGATTTAATGAAAAACAAACAAGAACACTTCGTTTATTTCGCATGCTCGTGTTCTGATCTTCCGTTCACAGAGGAGGAAAGAACGAGCCAGAACCTGAACAGCCGGTTCCCCGAAAAGTGGCGATCCGCACGCTACCCTCCACCGAGGACATCGACCCGGATGTGCTGGAAAGCATGCACTCGCTGGGCTGTTTCCGAGACAAGAACAAACTAATGAAAGACCTGCTGTCAGACGAGTGAGTAAATAAGAAAGAGACTCTACACTGCACAGTCACCTGTTTCCCTTGATAAATCCCAAATGTTTTGCCCATGATTAGACAAGACTGACTGCGTCTGCTGTGGGAGACCATATGCGAAGCTATTATTGTTTTACATCCTTGTTTTTTAGGGTTAGTAAACACACACTACAGCATCTTGGCTGCGGGCTATTAGAGAAGCCCATTCACTCCCGCTCATCTGTCATCTCCCATACTTGTACAATTACCGGCCACACGCTTCACTGTGCGCCATCACTTCGTTAGCCCCCCTGATAGATGACTTGGTTGTTTCCTCCTAAAACATCATGGCCTCTGTCTCTTCCCTTGCCCAGCATTTAAGCACAATTCAGTGTGCGCCTGCAGCAAAGATGGGTAATATTTACTTCCCGCTGTGTGGTCCAGGGCTGAGAAATTCAACACAAGGCCTCTCGCTGGGAGAATTCGAAGACTTTTTGAACTCGCTCACACACTCTTGTCGGATATTTTATGTCTTCGTGCATCATTAATGAAATAAGTGATATCCTGTGATCTCTGCAGGATAGCTTTTAGCTCACTGGGAATGAGGTGCTTGCTACTCTTTGCTCTTTACCCAATGAAGTCAATTAGCCTGAGCTGAGGATTATTGAGGAGCACTGCCGACTGTACTGTATATAAGAAACCTGTCTTGACCACGACATGCCCTTCCATTCTCCAGCGATAACCAGGAAAAGATGATCTACTTCCTGTTGTTGGACCGGAAGGAGAGATATCCAAGTCATGAGGATCAGAATCTACCACCCAGAAATGAGATCGGTAAGAATGTTGGTCTCTTACATATTAAATCTGTCCGATTGTCTCTAAACAACAACGTTCCCAGTACATGTCTTACTCTGTGATGTGAAATCATTTCCTTGCCTACAGTCTTGGATATACTAGTACAAGGTGCTTTACAATCCAGAAATAAAACTCTATAGAACAATGTGTTTACTGATGAATCATATGCAATAAGAACAAGAACATTTAAAAAAAAAAATAAATAAATAAATGGGCATTTTAATTGTTTTACGTAGTACTGTATTTTAACTTACTCTACTATCTTTGTAGTGTAGTATTTGAACTGTTGTATAAACGCAATGTCACATTAGTAGCAGTGCGATATGGTTGTATATCGCCACTGGTTGGGGAGATGTGTAGGAGTTAGTGTCCCACCAGTGACGATATACAGCCTACGAGTGTGATATTGCGTTTATAATCAAAGAGAAAAAAATGAAAATCAAATAGAGTCTCAAAATCCCTTTTGTATAAGGAACTGCTTTCTTCCGCCATTCATTCATATCTGCAGCTGACGTCAGAACAGCAAAAAACATTGTTAATTCACAAACGTCATTTTAGAGCTAGCATTTGAATGATTCTTTAGCGTAATGTCTAAAGTGATGATAAAACAGCTGATTTTGCTCACATTTTAAGATAATAACGCTGAACTGCATGAAATGTCATCAGTCTACAGACATTTCCCAGTATTTTTCTGATGCAATTGGGATATCACAATAATTTACCCTGAAAAAGCCAAAGCAAACACTACCAGAAACATTACCAGATTACCTTGGCATTCATAGAGCACTACAACATACAAAAGAGAGAATTTGAATTAGAAAGTCACTTGTTTTATAATGTTTTGATCAGCTGTAGTTTGAAATTGCACTGACTTTTTCTCTTTTAAGGGCTTATTCTGCAGCCTCTGTCGGTATAACAGGATGATGGATGTTGAGGCGGTGTCTCTCAGAAATTATAATTATTAAAAAATAGACAATGTTGTTTTAAATAAACAGTTAAACAGCTACAATTATGCCTAAAAAAGCCTCAAAAGTACATTGTGTTGTTCAACAGCTGCAATATTTGTCAGACTGTAGTCCTGAGGCTGTACGAGTACTGATATTACTTTAATATATCACGGCTATCAGCCAATCAGATTCGAGAACCAGACAGAATTGTTATATAAATATTAAAACAGCCGTGTGATTGTATATTCCTAAATGACTGCTATTAATCAGAGATAAAATGTAAACATTAATGCCTACAATGGCGATCAGATATCAGATGTAAATCATACTTTAAAAAAATTCCTACTTGGTAATTTTTACTCCTGCAGTTTATGACAGACTGTTAAAATGTGTTTTTCACTGAATAAGTTGTTCAATAGATACATAAAAAATAATGATTCATCCAGTAATGAAACAAATGCAGTCTTATTGTGTAAGTCTATTGAGTCATTCATTCTGAACTTTCCAAAATTATTTATTGAAATTAAAAACATATTTTGAAATATATTAAATTACTAATGAATAAAATGAATCGTCTTTTCTGTCATTTTTTGTTCAATTTAATGAATCCTTGATGCATAGTAATGTATATATTGCAAAATAGGACTTTAAATGTTTGAATGGCTGAAAGACATTATAAAAAAAAAACTGTATGTTGTTGTTTTCAATTATGAATTCCATAGGCCTGTTTTCATGTGTTAGTTATCACGATCGTGTCTCTTCAGATCCTCCCAGGAAGCGAGTGGACTCTCCACTTTTGACGAGGCACAACAAGAGGAGGCCAGAGCGCAAGTCAATGGAAGTGCTGAGCGTGACAGAGGGCGGTTCTCCTGTTCCTGTGAGACGCGCCATCGACATGGCACAACACGGGCAGAGGTACAGCCACACATCTCCCGCTCCTCTATTATTTACAAAAATCTACAATCGGCCACAGTAAGATCGGCTGAAAGGATGTCACATGAAACGTGAAGCCTCGAAAGATAAAGCCAAAACAAACTTTGCATTGGTAAAATGAAGCTCACAGTTATCAGACGCTGCATACTAGCTTTGAAATGTGTTTTAAATTGCACACGAAGGAAGATCAATGAGCTTAGCTAATTCTGTGAGAAGTGAAAAACAAGGATTTCAATAGCCGTGTGTTTTACTATTCTCTGAAAATCCGTTTCTCAGCTAGTCGAGCAGCATGCTAAATGCGCCATATGGGGAATTTTGACTTATCAAATTGGTTTTAAGGGGAACAATGGGATTGCCTTTCATTTCTCTGTATCTTTGACACGTTTTGTTACAAATTCGTTTTACTTTCTTACCATGTTCATTGTGATCCATTTCATCAGCCCCGTGTTCTTTCCCTGTGTAGATGCTTTGACTCAACTCAATGGTTACTTTTGTAAAATTACACTAACTTTACTTTCTCTTACTGTAGTAAATCTGTTTTCAGTAAAAGCTTGGATATCTCAGATGCCAACCCCATACTGCAAAGCAAGGAGGAGAGGTATAAACCACCGCCATGCTTTTTTTATTCTGCTCTGAAGATGCAGTGGGGTTTCTTTAGCACTCAAAACATGCAACACAGAGCACTGTCCTTTTATTTCAACCACTGACATTTAAGATCTTAAGAGCTTAGCTTGCTTGAGAGACAACTTTTTGGAAAAAAAAAAAAGTGGAGGTCGCACGAGTAAATAAGAGTTTTTTCCTCCCGGTTTGGCCTCTCAGTTTTGATAAAGCAGCGGCCCTCTGGCTCCCTCCACAAACATCAAAAGCATCTTATCTCCCTTATTTTGCCTTTCATGTTTCGTTTGATGTCTGGCATTTTTTGTCCCTTGGTAGATCCCAAATTGTTAATTTCTTGCCCTCGATCTCGTTTTGCCTTCTTGCTTCTCTTGCCTTCACCCTGGATGTTTGTTTGTTTTTTTTCTTAGAGTGATGTGTGCACTTACAGTAGGTGAGAGACAGAGGTTATTTAACTGCTTGTGTTCATCTTTTCAGGCATTTTATTCGACCTTGAGTTTCACAGTCCTGTCGTATGTCTGCTTTCACAGTCTTTTTTGTCTGCCAGATGAAAAAGGGCCTTGGATTTGTGTCTTTTTTTATTGATGCTTGTTTTGTTTTTATTTATTTAATCAATGTGTTATGTAGAGGTTCACTGAATTAGGAGCTACCGTATGAATATTTCACTGACAGACCAGACCAGGGGTGCGTTTCTGAAAACCATCGTTAGCCAACTAAGGTCGCAAGTTGCATTGTTACAAACAAAGCTCATTGATTTGGTGTTTCCCAAATCTATCGTTCCAACGAATATTTATAAACTGCGTTGCAATCTTGTATGCTTGCAACAATACCTCTAGAGCTGTAGTTAAAAACATAGGTCCTGGCTATGTTCTATTCCAAGTTTTCCCCCTGTGCCTTATTTATTTGGAACATTCTAACATTTAAATGCGGAATAATTAAAAAAATAAAACGATAATAAAACACACATTTTTTATCATTTTTTAATAACTTTAAAGACTTTTGTTTCGGAACCTGGCACGCTTTCCCAGTTAGTGCGGTTAGTTTGGCATATGTGAATCCAGCATTTGAGCTCGGATCCACACCAAAACAATCGGTCTGAGATCGCCTGAATGAGGTGGTCTCAGCTTGATTGAAACAAACTCTTTAACGGATCGATTTAGTGAGAAAGCAAAATGATCCGAGCCTGGCTATATCACAGTGTGTTATGGATATGTAATAAGCATAAATACGGCTATATAAAGAGAGAATTATGAGTAAAGCGGGATGTCATTCCTACTGTTAATTGTGTGTTTCATGTCAAATACGAAAGTGAAAGCATGCTGAACTATTAACGAAAGATGTTTATTCATTAGGAAAATTGACTGAACAATAGTCCTAGTTAATCTGTTATTTCTCTCCAATGTAAAGCCTATAATGCACAATTCTAGCCAATGGCTATGTATGAGAAAGGTTTACCTCTGATTTATATCTGGTGACAATGTCTGTGGGTGTCACCATTCAAAGTTAAAGCGCAGCTTTACGCTTGTCTTATTATATGTCTTATTGCTCATCGTCATAAATTAAAATGAGTACGCATGACAGATGAGCGGGACTCTGCAAAATAAAGCTTGAAACTCTGACCAATGTGAGGAGAGTTTACTTACACAAGACTTGTTTTAGCTATTTTGGTCTGTTTAGAAACCAAGAACAACAACATTGTAACAATATGAAGCCCTGTTTCAGAACAAAACAATCAATCTACATGTGTGAAAGCACCCTAAATTACAGCCATTAACGATTTATATGATTTATGTATGGTTCTAGAACATGTGTTAGCTAAGTGATTTTACATTTGATATTCTCAATAGTATTTGTAAAGGAAACATATATTGGTCCTATATGTGCTGTTTACATATACCTCAATTAATATGGAAGCGAGTGCATCTGTGATGGATCTGCGACAGAAAAAGTACGGTTTTGGGAAACACTCATCACTACATCAATATTTCCCCAAAGATGCATTGTACTATGATAGTTTAGCCACAAGTTCCATCGTTGTTTGGGAAACGCACCCCAGATCGATTACATGTTTATACATGTTTACAATTCAAAATGTAATGACTTAATTGAACCGAAAAGCTCCCCTGCATCTTTTATTCAGTTTTTATTCAGCGTTTAACAAGCAGTAGTTACCTTAATATAACTGAAGCTTCTTACTCATAAAATATTAATAATGCACCGCATATAAAGTCTTTGCTTAAACAGTAGAGATATGTCCTCATATAGTTAGTGTCCTCTAGTGCTTGTTCTTTCTGTGCATGAATTACTTTCATTCATAGTCATTTATTACAAATATAAAGAGCTCTCTTCCCGATGCTGTGTTTGGCTAAGCTAATTAGCTGAATGCAAGAGGCATATAATGAACATCAGCATTGCGCTGATTCAGGACGTGGTGTATTTGGTGTTGTGATTTTTACGCTTGAACGATCAAAGACAATTTGAGACCAATGCATAATTCTCATCTAAGTAGCATTTGCAAATGCAGTTGATCAGTTTATGGATCAAATCCTTCCTGGAGTCAAATCATGTGAGTCTGTGAATGTTGACACCTTTAAGGATGATTTACTGTTTCAATTTGCCTTGATGACAAAACCCATTGTGTCCACGGTCAATTAAATCCCAATCATTTATTGGAGAATTACTGGAGCTCAGCATCTAATACACAATGAAGTAGGGAACAAATATGAGTCTCTTACAGAACCCCATAAAAGGCTGTGATGACCTTTTAGATTCCTAGGATGAGTAATGATAAATTGTTCAAATTTAATCAGGGTAACTTAAAAAAAAAAAGTAAAAAGAGCATGATCAACAAAAACCAAAAGACTTATAGGTCTGCATAGAAAGTTGGCATGTAATTAAAAGAAATGTAAGATTTATGGAGAAACACAGAGGTTTGGTCTCTGTCCAAGTGTAAACTCAATTTTTATCTTTCACCCAAATAACCTGCTGAACCTTTTGTAGTTTTATAGTAAGGTATTAAACTGGAAGAAGAACCATCTTTACTATGTATGTTGTGTAAATCTAGGTCCCGGTCCATCAGCGGAGCCTCTTCTGGTCTGTCCACTAGTCCCCTCAGCAGTCCTCGGGTAAGTTATTTGTTTTACTTGGAGAGTCTGGTTGTTATAAAGCCAACCGGTGGAGCATCTATCTATCAGAATGTCAGTTGAAGAAAAGCTCTTGGCTACACACATTCAGCATGAATATATGCATAGTTTGCACAATCCAGGGGTCTTCAATGTGTGCTACTGCAGTGGGTCCAATAATTATTGTTTGATCTCAATCAATTTTTTGATCTCAATCAATTTTTTTTCTAAGAAATTAAAATATATTGAACAAATTTTAGTAATACAGTAATTCAACTTCAACCAAAGTTAAATTTCTGTAGTGTGTTGTTTCCATTTTCATTAAGTAAATGTACCATACAAATATTATATATGAAGCTCTCATTCATCTTATTCTCCGCATATGAGCAAGCGCAGCCATTTGAATCTTTTTGGCTCGAGACTTCCGGTGTCATTCACTTCCATTCATTTTTAGATGTTTAAAAACAGCTCATTTTGCTGCTTGATGTTGCAAACTGATATTTTCTTATTATATTATTCTACTTTGTCTGTATTATCATGAAAACACTTGTTTGTAGAGCAAGTAGTTTGATCATTTTCTGTCGTTTATTATTTCTAGTCATTTCTCCTATAGAAACCTCAATCGGAAGTTCTAAAACAATCGCAAAAGAAGCACAATTCTGTATTGAAGAATAAAGTCAATAGATACATTTAATAATATATTTTTTTTATGTAATAAGGATCTATTAAATCAATCAAACCTGGCATTAAATGAATTTTGTAGTGCTTTTTTCCTTCAAAGAATTTTTGTTACTGCAGTGGATCGAATCTTTCTGAAAAAATCTAAATATGTACTAGACAAATTCTAGTATTGCAGTACTTCAACAAAAGTGAAATTATTAAAGTCTGTTGTTTCCGTATTAGTATACATATAACACAAGTATTATATATGAAACTCTTATAAATACTTTTATAAAATAAAATATATCCAATAGTGATCCATTAAATTAATCAAATGTGGCATTAAATGATATTGTAATGTCTTTTTTTCCATCAAAGAATTTAACATTTCCATAAGAAATAATAAGCATCATCTGTTTTAAAAATGAGCATTTGCAGCTGGAAATTCAGCTTTGCAGGAATGAATTACATTTAAAATATTTTAAAGTATATACATATTTCAAAATATCACTGTATTTTCATTGTGTGTAATTGTTGGACTGTGTTGTACTTTTGAATGGCAGTGCACATTAATATGGTAGCAAACTCATGGTATTATAAGCCTGGTTCTAAAATATAGAATAAGGACACTTTGTTTTGGTGTCCACTATGAAGTCTGTATTGGTTTAAATATGGTTGAAGACCCCTGATATAATGCAATATATATATGATGAATGAACAAGGATGTATTTTATGTGTTTTATTAAATAGGAAAAGCTGATTACATTTCACCTTAAGTCCAAAAATGTCAGCAAATCACTGTCTGTCCCTAGCGATCCACCTTTACTACTTCAAGCCCAATCAGTCTAGCATACTTAGCATAATTACTTCTAATCTATGCCCGGTTCACAGGCTTGTTGCCTTGAAATATCACTAATGGCTTGTTAAAATCCCTTGAAAATCCCTGGTTCCTCGCTAACAGTGAAGCCTCTGTATTCAGCCAGCTTTTACACTTGATTTGTTTAAAGAGGCTAACCGATTACAAATCCACTACTAAGACCTCCCAATATGCAGTCCTTGAGTTACTGTACAGCACATGGAGGAATTCCCTACAGGATTCATCCCAGAGTCAATCCTGAATCCGACCTGATCACATAGTGTGCAGTTTGAAATGTTGTACTTCTGGAGAACGGCTGCAGCATTGCCCTTTCACTGATGAAAATGCCTCACGTAGAGAACAGGCTTGGTGGAAGTAATTCGAATTAGTCTGTGAAGAACTCTTGATACAGCTCATCTGAGATTAGTTTTACTGCTCAGACATAGACTTAAAGGTTTGTCATGGAAGAATCTTCCCTGCGGTATGAAAGAGCTTTAAAAATTCATTTATAGCATTGGCGCTCTTCTTTATGCCTGTGCTGCGGTTGCAGCTGCTACCGTTAATACTCCATTGTATTTCTTTTTGATGTTTTACAATATGCTTGATGAGCTTTCTTTCACTGATTATAATCACACTCTTCACTGTTAGTGGCCCATATTGTATCAATCCCCCGTTTCTGACCCAATTATTACTATTAGCGTCATCTGTCAAACGGCATCCTCATATCATACCTCCAGCAGCAGCATTGTACTCTATGCTCTGTTCAATGGTCAACTGCACTTATCTTCACTAGCCATTTTGTTAGTGTGGCGCTATTGTCTTGAAAAACTCGTTGTGAAGTCATCATACATGTTTGTGACTTTTGTCACATATTCCATAACACAGCTACCTAATAAAGGTGCTTATTTTCAAATGAATTGAGGTATTCTGACAATAGCGTCCTTTAAAGCAAAGCTCATGTGCCTTGCTCAGATTTCCTGCTTGCTTAGCCAACGCTGACAACACCTCCTTTAATTTCAACCCAGAGCTTTTGTTGCTAATTTCTGTTGCTGGTTTTGATTTGTTTTGGTGAACACTGGTTTGGGGACATTTTATTTCCTCTGTCTTGTTGCCTCTTGGCTGGTTGTGCTAATGGCATGTTTTTTTTCTTTCTTTCTTTCTGCATTTCCTCCCTCACCTCTCATCACCGGTGCCTTGTTCACCATCCTTTCATGTTTGGTGTCGGTGTGTGTGTGCGTCTGCGCCATAATGCCTGTTTACTACGGGGCCGTGTGTTGTGTGTTTGGGCTCTTTAAATGCTGCTGGCTTTGTGCATGCGCTCCTCCAGCCCATGCGGCGGTTCGCTGTTCCTCCACAATCCTCAGACCTCACATATTCACCCAACCACAGCCCTACCCACGCGCCTGTGGCCCGGCTGAACGGCACAGGGCCTCACTCCCCCAAAATATTTCTACCAAAGACAGCTGCCGATCAACTCAACAACAAAACCCAGACCCTTCCAGCCAAGCCCAAAGTTGCAGACAAGCCCCTGCAGGCCACCCGGTCCAACCCGCTTCCTAACAGCACGCCTGTGCCACCGGTGGCCAAGTCTGAACCTTCTACGCCCTGCCAACCCCTGCCCCCGCAGATACCCGGCAGCCCGAAAATACGGCGGCCACCACTCACAGTGCCGCCCAAGCTCTCTGTACCGCTTTCACCCCTTTCACCCATCCGGCTTCACCACCTTCACCCGCTGGCCGGGACTGACCACAACGGCAAATCTATCCCCACCATACAGGTTACACCCCACCCCTCTCCCAGGGGCAGCCCATTGCCAACTCCGAAAGGAACACCGGTGCACACGCCTAAGGAGAGCCCAGCCGGGACCCCCAGCCCAACGCCACCCCCCAGCCCCTCTATTGGAGGCATGCCATGGAGAACACGTCTCAACTCCATTAAAAACAGCTTCCTCGGCTCACCACGCTTCCACCGCAGGAAACTACAAGGTATCTTTTTCAAACCTGCCCCAGGGCAATCTGCTATTTAGATTAAATCTGACTCATTTACCTTGACATGGTGTTAATTTGCGTGTGTGTTTTCTGTCATTAAATAAACAGAAAAGGTTGTATCACTTTAAAATACAGCCTAATTACTGTATTAATATTAATTAATTATTAATAATTAATTAATATTAATACTTTTTAATTAACTAATAATAAACAATACTTGCAGCATTTATTTAAAATGTGCAAATCACCTTTCATACAGTGCGATCCAGAGTTTTAAGTATGAAAGTGCAGCATGTTTAAAGTTATTATCTCTAAAAAGAAAGAGTCAACTCAAAGTCATTAAACAGGTCATTCCCAGTTCGTATTCAAAGGCATTACATTACGGCATCTTAGTGTAACATTGCCTGCCCACTTGTTACGTGCACAGATCCAGGATAACTTATAGGCTAACAGGATAACTCTCCCTCAAAGAGTGTAGCAGATTCTAGAGGATCGGATTGCATCATGTTATAAAGAAGCTGTGCTCTGCACTGTAAAGGAAAATCCTTTTTTTAATGCCTTAAGATGATGCTGTGAGAAATCAATAGTTAAAGCTGATTTTCACAATAGTACCACAGTAGTATATGCCCAAACTTATGTTATGATGCTGACATTTTACTGACGACTGCAACAGCAAACCTACCCTATAACATAGGATTCGCCGACCAGTTATTATTAAATAAATGAACTGTAAGGTTTAATTTCAATCATGAACTTGGTTCATTACACATTGGGGCACTGAAGGTAACATGAAAGTGTCCTTATTAGGTAAGTTTTACATGGACACCAATAATCCGATTGTATTATGATTAAGACAATACTCTGATTAGAGCAGGGGTGGGCAAACTCGGTCCTGGAGGGTTGGTGTCCTGCATAGTTTAGCTGCAACACTAATCAAACACACCTGAACTTGCTAATCAGTGTCTTCAAGATTGCTAAAAGCAGGTGTGTGTGATTAGAGTTGGAGCAAAACTGTGCAGGACACCAGCCCTCCAGGACCCACCCCTGGATTAGATTAGTTTGCCCACCCCTGGATTAGAGGCTAACATGTAAACATCGATTTTTGATCATTTTAATCCGACTAAAGTCATCATCGAGCAGAACAGAAATCTAATCAAATTCCATTAAAACAACACTCTTCCAGCAGTTTATACTCGCATTCAATATCTATTTTGTCATAGGGGGCGTGCATGAAATGTTCCTGAGTGAAAGTGAAAGTGCCAAACTGCAAAAATGAAACTCCCGAAACTACATGAAACTTCAGGGGAAGTGTAGATTGTGTGGTGACATAATGATGTTAGTTAAATTATGTGATATAAAATGTAAAACAAGATCATAAAAGAAACATTCTAAAAGCAACTCATGTAAACATCTTAATCATATTATTCTTATTTAGATTAAGGCAAATAATTTCATTACTGACATCCATGTAAACTTAATCATTGTGCAACATCAAAACTGGAATTTACGAATAATGACATATATGATTTTTTAGACATACTCATTTGTATAATGGATTTAAAAGGACATTATAGATACCTATTTAAATTGTTTCATATACCAGCAGCATTTCAACCATTAATTATTTATAAATGTTTGCGTAATTGTTTTGTACCTGTGTAATTATGTTGATTAATGTTTATTACCAAAAAAAAAAAAAAAGAAAAAGTATCTCATTCATCATTATGTTGTATGATTTGGTTCATTCAGGCTTTGTGCTTCAGAATTCCATTAGAGGAACATAGTGAGCATCACTGCTTTCAGACTTGTATGATACATTGTGGGAAAATTCAGGGAGTTAACATTGTCAATGATGACAGACTTGCTGATCAGTGCCCTGTTCACTAGTTATTGTCTAGAAATGTGTCAGTTAATAGTGAATGTTTATCGTTTTTACTCAGAGTCACAATGAAAAATCGAGCAATATGTTGACGTACAAACTGCAGTGCTTTATCAATACCTTACTGCACTGGGCATACACATATGCAATTACTGCTTGCTTTAAAATTGCATAAACTGTAATCCAGTAATGGTAATAGACTTCCTGTTTTCGACACGTACTAGATTATCGGCCAAGCACTGCAAATTAGTATTCGGCAAAGTATTCGGTTTGGGAAAATTAATTGCTAAATAAATCATACAGTATAGTAGTTATTGGGATATTTAGGTATATTTAAATGCATATTATAAGATAATGAAAGTGTTTTTTTATGTCTTGCATGCAAGTCAGCCTGTTTTAAAGAACTGAAATAGAATGCCACATTGACCCTCTAAAAGCTGCTCTAAAGTCCAGCACAGAGCATGTTTCTTATGCACTTGCAGGTCCAAACTTTTACACATTGCTTAATACACACAATATCTATTATATCTTAATACACACAGTAATGTATCTTTACAAATGAAAAAATTAAGGATTAAAATGTTACAAAATGTATTATTTTATACATAAATATAAAAAACACTACCTCCATGCCTTCTTCATGCTTACATGCTTTTTTCAGTTAATTTGTGACAATTTGCATTTGTATGATGCTATTGTTATTATTATTATTATTATTATTATTATTATTATTATTATTATTATTATTATTATTATTATTATTATTATTATTATTATTATTGTTATTATCATTGTTATTATGCATATTTATAATTGTTTTAATAAAAGCTTGGATTTGTCCACGTGTCAGGTTTTGAAGTCATTTGCATCTGTATGAGGTATAAGAATAGGATGTGTGTTTGGATATAACCTCTTAACCACACTTTGTTATTATTGTTTATTGATTTGTTTGCTTGAAATTAGAACTGAATTTGAGTGGAGTGCGTACAACACCATTTTCTTATTCACGAAAATAAAGGTGTAAAGAGTAAAGTAAAGAGAAAGTAAAGAGGCTGAATGGAGGAGGCTTGCTTGTTTTCACACTTTAGACTTTGTGCCTAGATCGTTAAAATAGAGCTCTCTGACTTCAATCAATTCATTAATAAATGAATAAATAAATAATACTTTAAGTTTCTTTGTTTTGTTCCACAGAAGAAATAGCTTTCTAGTTTGAAATAACATAAGGACAAGTAAATAATTAAAAAATGGTTATTATTTGTTCGTTGAATTTTGCTTTAGGGTTCATAAAAATAGTAGAATGACACAGTTAAATAAGTAAATTCTGACAACAAGATATCTAATAATACCAATGTCATATGCATCCCTAATAAATGATAGTTATGTATATCACTAAAGCATAAGCACCAAATTATGCTAGTTAATTATTTTTATTACGGTTTTCAGTTGACATGTTTTCTCATAGTGAGAGATATTCTCTAAGGACTGATTTTTTCACAGATTGCTGGGTAATAAACTCAGCGATACTCCATTATCAGCTCTATCTGACGATATATCTAGTTATGATAATGAAGACTGCACAAGCATCTCCTTCACCTCCAGCTGTTCTTCTTTCGCTCTTCCACCGGTGAGAGGATCAGATGAGCTGATAGTAGGGGGGGTTGAATTACTCTTAATCTCTGCAGGTTTGGAGTAATTAGCTGTGGTTAATCAGCATTCCCCTCCTCAGGTTGTGAATGGCTAATCTCTCTGGATACAGAGAATGATGCAAATTCCACTGAGGCTTGTTTGCTTTGTCTCTTCCCAGTTCCCACACAAGAGGAGATGTCCAGCCTAACACCAGAGTCTTCCCCCGAGTAAGTATTAACTATTCCCCAAGACAGTCAAGTCACATATGCAGCTTTATTAAATCCGGGAATGTGAAAGAAGCATTAAAATAATTCTCAATTATAATTTGAATTAAAATAAATGCCCATTCAATACTCATTATTTTACCAAATGTGTGGCTAAATGATTCCCCTTTTGCATTAACCTGAGCTCATTTTGAGTCAAATCATCAACACTTAATTAAAGCTTGTTTAATTGTGACACATAACTTTTGCACTTTATACTTCCCTTTTCTCCTAATTTTATTAGGAGTTGAAAAGAGCTTTACAGCTAAAGTTAATGTGCTGGCCCAAACAGCGTTCCTGGCCCCATTAGCCTACAGTAGTTTGTTGCTGGAGTTATTATGAGGGAATAGTTCGTCATGAATAATTCAGTGTTTTAGTTCCACTTAGCTTCACAAAGCAGCAGCACGGTGGAAACTTCTGGAGTGTTTTTCTCTTATCCCTCTGTTGTTTTTTAAGTTCTTGGTGAGATAGTCACAGTATGTTGCGCTGGCTCAAAGATGGCCTTGATAGTCACTGACTGTGGTAAAATCCCAGCGATTTCAAGCAGGGCTGAGAAATGAGCCATATGCCAGTATTCAAACCTTCACAAAGGCTTTTGTCTATAGAAATGTTTTACGAACTTAGTTGTCAGCTGATCCAGTATGACAACAAACCCTGTCATGTTCATTAGTTTAATCTACAATATCACATGCAAGCATGTCAGTTAAAATAATTAAACACCATTTTTTGTTTAGGTTTGCATGGTGTTGCACATTATATGGTCATTTATCATTTAAGTTTTGAATTGTTTGACAGTCTGTGTCACAAGTCCTACGTGTTTTTATTGCTATGTCCAAAAGACATCAGCTTACTGACAGCTTACTAAGTCCCATCTGGACAGCTTTCAGTGTTGTGTGTTTTACTTTGAGAGAAAATTCAGCCAAGCTCTCATGGAAAAGTCTAAAATATTCCTAAGAATTGCTTTATTTACTTTAGCCAGGAACTGTCAGGGGGAACCTTTGCTGTCATGATGTTATTTTGAAGTCGTTTGATAGCACGACAATCTTCTTCCCACCAAAATTCACTTTTGGTGTAGCTGAAATGTGTAGAGAACTGTTCAAAATGAGTAACAAACTTTTTTTTTCAGCAAAATCACATCAATTTAATAACAAGTTACAGGACAAGACATTTAAAATTTTGCAAGATTTATTTGTCAAAAAATTGCTGTTCAGTAATTCTGAAATAAATATCTTTTTCACAAAATATATAATAAAAGGTAAACTTTTTCAACATAGTTAACTATATAAAATGTTATGGGCTATTTGCACAGCTAGAGTTTTAAAGCCAACGATAAACTTCTGGTGAAAGCTTAATGTGACTATTTTAAATTTCATAAGGTTGCTTTTACAGCATCGATGTTGTAATGTTATTACAGTCAGTTAAATAGACTTAAGCGTTCATTAAGTTGTTCAAGCGTTAAACGAGATGAAAGATCGTTGTGCTAGTGAGGTAAGTAGCAACAGGCTAGTGCAGAAATTCCATTGAAAATACTGTGGTAAAAAACTGTCATATTTTAAAGACATGGAAGGGGAAAAAGGAATTTAATGTAGTGCTACTTGTCTGATCTGAGACCCACTTCATATCGTATATCAAACAGGATGTGAAGAGTGCTGATTTTTAAAGAAATCAGATCTCAAAATTTTGTACAATTTTGTAATGGAAAAACAGTTCGCCGAAAGCCCTTGAGCTGCCTGACTGAAAATTAAAAGTCTGTGTGCATATAGCCCATTGCGTGACAAATAAGCCATTATATTTGAAATTATTTCTAAAAGAATTATGTGACAGTAAAGTAAGACATGCTTAATAAATGTCTGGTTTACTCATGTGTATTTTTTTAGGCTTGCCAAAAAATCTTGGTTTGGAAATTTTATTAACCTGGAAAAGGAGGAGCAGATCTTTGTGGTGATTCGGGATAAGCCTCTGAGCTCCATCAAAGCAGATATTGTCCATGCCTTTCTCTCTGTAAGTTTCCATCTACTCACCCTACCTGTCAAAACCTGTTTGACTTTTTGACATTCATGAGGCTTAACATATTAAAAAGTATTGAAAATGTGCACTATATTACAAGTCTTCCAAACTCACGATTGCTCTGTGTGACAACAGAACAGGGATATAATTAGTTTTGCACTGATAGTCTTCTGCTCTAGTGAGCAATGAGTCATTTAGTTCATGCAAGACATTCAGACCAGTTATGTGAACTGTATCCATTGACTAAGTTTAAAAGATCTGACTCCGGGATACATTTAATAAAATTTTAAATCACTTAACTTATGAAAGCATGTACTTAGATGTCGAGATTTTCAGTTGATAACAAACTTAAATTTTTGGATTTTAACACGTTACAAAGCAGTCATATTGACCATTTTTATAACATTTTAATGAGCTTTGAGCGGCTTCTTTATTGCTATGAAAGTAAATTAGAATCTTGAAAATGAATAAGTCATGAGTAGGCCCACATGGAATCTGCCCCTGATTTTTTTGTCTATAACGTAGTTCATTTCATTACTTATGTTAATGTGTGTAAAAATATATTCATTCAGTTTTATATTAATTTCAGTAATAGTATTGAATACTATGTAAATGTTTAGATGGTTCATGTACTAAACAGTTTGTAAATTCATATTTTCAGTTTTTGTTTTTGTACATATGAATTGGATTTGAATTGTAAATATTAAAGGTAAAAAGTTATTTTTTTAATTATTTAATATTTTAGTTACTGTACTCTCAAAACCATTCTGTGTAAATCTGCAGATTTTTTTTTTTTGTTTGTAAACAATGCAGGTTGTGTGGTGGGTCAGTGGTTAGCACTGTCGCCTCATTGCAAGACGATTGTTGGTTCGAGCACTGGCTGGGGCAGTTGGCATTTCTTATGGAGTTTGCATGAACATTCAATTCAATTCAATACTATGGAATCAGTTTAGTCTCAAAAGAAATTCACGCAAAAGACACGATGTACACATGCTTAGCCAAATTCACGTGCATAAAATCAAATTCACGTGCGTAAAATATTTATTTAAATTCACAAAAAATGTTCACGTGCTCAAAATAAAAATACATTTTCATAAAATACGTTTCACAAATGCAAAACACCATTTGCAAATGTATGAGAGTGTACAAAAAGTTTTGAATGTTTAAAACTTGCGAGTTTATCCTGAATGAGAATGTGCAAATCCTCTTTCACGTACGACTCCCCCTGGATACGTGTGTGAGTATTTTTGAGACTTTCCTGCCAGAGGCAGGGTAACTCGTACCTTTCAGCCAATCAGATGAGAGCTGTAGTCAATGACACCAACTCTGCGCTTCATTTGTGCAGACTGTTTCTCTCCAGCATGGCGAACGGAGAAAGCAGCAGTCCCAGTCGCAATTTTTTAATTTATTTAATTATTTGACCATAGCCTCACTCTTTTTATCCATTATTTTGCCGCAGCTCCGCTCTTCTTATTTATTGTCTCGCAGCCTCATGAGCAGAATGTAGCCTGCAGAATGATGAAATATCATTCCGGTAATGCAAGCACAACAGTACCATTGTGGTCTAGCGGTCAGCACGTTGCGTTACCAAGCCTCCGACCCGTGTTCGATCCTCACCAGAGATTAACTTTTTTATTTTTTTCATTTTTATTGTAAAAACATATATCTATATATACATATATATATTATATCCAATGAATGTACACAAGCTGCTGTTGTGCTTTAGTAATATAATATGTAGAATATAAATATAACATTAATACTTTTTGGAATATTTTTAACACAAATCGAGCCTCTGGGATAATTTCAAACATGTTTGATGCCACTCAGGATTTCAATCTGCCCTCCAACTTACAGCCGCATCACTGAAGAGAAGAGCTGAGGAGAATCGCGTCAGTTTTAATAAATTAGGTTTTAAATTTTTTAAGTCTATAGAGACTTTGCAGAATAAAAATGCTAAATCATTTCAGTAGGTGGCACATACAGATCAGTAATGAGAACCAGTGATGAGACATTCCAAACGCATACGTAATCAAAACTGAAACTAACAGAACACACGACACTAGCAAAATAAAACATTGTATTTAATGCTGAAAGAAAGTCAACCAGTTTAACATATCATACCACATTCACAATAGCCTTATTAATTTAATTAGGCTATAATGTCCTTGACCACCAGCAAATCAGAATCTTCAACTGGACATCACTTTAGTTCTTTGTTCAGAGTCGCTGCCTCAGTCAATCAAATCCAATCAAATGAAGATTACAGCTCAGACTACATTGGTTTTAACCCGATTTATGCCTGATTTTCACCTTCTGGGAAAAGGAGATGAATAAGTTTACTATAGCTCGTGATAAGCAATAAAACACTTAGTTTATGTTGTCATATTTTCATTGTAAATTTTTTAGTTTCTAGTTTAATAAACAAAAATATACTCATAAGCATCATTTAAAATGATTATTTATATAATTATTACGGAATGATAGGGTATATTCTACATATTATATTACTAAAGCACAACAGCAGCTTGTGTACATTCATTGGATATAATCAGGGCCAGATAGGGACTCCTTTTCAGCCCTGGAGTTTCAAGCCTTTGACCGGCCCACCTTAGTTCACGACTGACTATATTAAAATAAGATCACTTCCAAGTCAGTTTCTAATTACACTATTAAGTCTTTTTAAAGAAAACAGCTGCTTTAGAACTTCAAATGTTCAACAACCTTACAGTTTTATATGTCTTAACAATAAAAATGAAAAAAAAAAAAAGTTAATCTCTGGTGAGAATCGAACACGGGTCGGCAGCTTGTTAATGCAACTCGCTGACCGCTAGACCACAATGGCACTGCTGTGCTTGAATTACCTGCTCATGAGGCTGTGAGACAAGCTGCAAAATATTGGATAAAAAGAGTGAGGCTATGGTCAAATAATTAAATAAATGAAAAAAGTGCGACTGCTGCTTTCTCCGTTCGTCATGCTGGAGAGTCTGCACAAATGAAGCGCAGAGTTGGTGTCATTGACTACAGCTCTCATCTTATTGGCTGAAAGGTACGAGTTACTCTGCCTCTGGCAGGAAAGTCTCAAAAATACTCACACACGTACGTGAAAGAGGATTTGCACATTCTCATTCAGGATAAACTCGCAAGTTTTAAACATTCAAAACTTTTTGTACACTCTTATACATTTGCAAATGGTGTTTTGCATTTGTGAAACGTATTTTATGAAAATGTATTTTTATTTTGAGCACGTGAACATTTTTTGTGAATATAAATAAATATTTTACGCACGTGAATTTGATTTTATGCACGTGAATTTGGCTACGCATGTGTACATCGTGTCTTTTGCATGAATTTCTTTTGAGACTAAACTGATTCCATACAATTCATCTTTATTTCTATAGCGCTTTTACAATGTAGATTGTGTCAAAGCAGCTTAACATAGAATTTCTAGTAGACTGAAACTGTGTCAGTTCAGTTTTCATAGTTGAAGTTCAGGTTAGTTCAGTTCAGTGTGGTTTAAATTTCACTGCTGAAAGTCCAAACACTGAAGAGCAAATCCATCGATGTGCAGCTCCATGAGTCCCAAACCAAGCAAGCCTAGTGGCGACAGTGGCTAGGACTTCTTCAATTGACGAAAGTGAAGGAAAAAAAAAAACTTGAGAGAAAGCAGGCTCAAATTCATATTTGCATCGGTGTTTCCCAGTACTGGGTTACAGTTATTCCCCAAGTGACCCCTGATAAAGAAAGGTACTAAACCGGAGGAAAATGAATTAATGAATTAATGAATGAATGAATGAATGCACAGAAAATAGCAAAACTAATTTGAAGATTCTGTCTGGTTCTGAATGTATTTCTAAAGATATGTCCATATAATTCCAGAGATTTCATTTTGTGGTGAATCATCCCTTCAAGATGTTTAATACTTCTTTCATCAGATTCCCAGCCTCAGCCACAGTGTGGTGTCTCAGACGAGTTTCCGGGCAGAATACAAGTCCACGGCCGGCCCCACAGTGTTCCAGAAACCAGTGAAGTTCCAGGTGGACATCACCTACACCGAAAGCATGGCTGCCACCAAGGAGAACGGCATCTACTCTGTCACTTTCACACTGCTCTCAGGTAACCATGGTGACAGCGAGATGCCCATTCTGATGTCATAACCCCGCCAGCAGCCATTCAAATTGCTGAAGAAACTGTGCATGTGTGTGTTTAGGTGGTTTACAAAGACCAAATTGTACACTGCCTGACAAAAGTCAGATCCCAGTTGTAATAGCAACAAATAATAACTCAACTTCTAGTTGATCATTTGGAAAAGTGGCAGAAGGTAAATTTTTCAGATGAATCATCTGTTGAACTGCATCACAATCATCACAAATACTGCAGAAGGCATAAGACCCAAGGCATAGACCCAAGATTCTCATAGAAATCAGTCAAGTTTGGTGAAGGAACAATCATGGTTTAGGGTTACATTCAGTATGGGGGTGTGCGAGAGATCTGCAGAGTGGATAGCAACATCAACAGCCTGAGGTATAAAGACATTTGTGCTGTCCATTACATTACACGCCACAGGAGAAGGCATTTTTTTTTTGCAAGATAGCGCTCCTCATACTTCAGCCAAGGTCAAGGTGCTCCAGGATTAGCTAGTCCAGTCACCAGATATGAACGTTATTGACCAAGTCTAAGGTAAGATGAAGAAGGAGGCATTGAAGATGAATCCAAAGAATCTTGATGAACTCTGGGAGTCCTGCAAGAACGTTTCTTTTCCATTCCAGATGACTTTATTAATAAGTGATTTGAGTCATTGCAGAGATGTTTGGATGCAGTCCTCCAAGATCATTTGAGTCAGACACAATATTCATTCTTTTTCCACTGCACCATGACTTTATATTCTATACTGCACATTATTTCTAAGTGACAAGACTTTTGTCTAAGCAAAGTCAGAGCTTACTTTTCTAATTAAATCATTCAAAATCAAGACATGATCTTATTTTATTTTGGTAAAATAAGTATAATCTAGAGGCCTTTACCTTTCATATAAGCCACTTCTGATACCAAAATGATCAACTAGTAGTCAAGTTATTATTTTTTGTTCCTAAAACTTGGATAGACGACAAGACTTTTGTCAGGTAGTGTATGATGTCATGGGTGTGACTTGTTCTCTTGTTCTCAATGAAGGTGGTTTAGGAAGACACCTTGTGTCCTTCAAAAACACTTAAAAATTATACTTAACAGAGTCCTTTAACATTCAAAATGTGCCACAGGTTTCCTGACAGGGTTGGTTTAGGGATAGGGTAAAGCCATATAATAAGTGTTTCTAGAGTACGCTTATGGAGTGTCTTCATAAACCATATATACAAGTATGTGTGTGTGGGTGATGGAGAGGCTGCTTGATGATGTTGAACTTTGCCACTCACAGTGGTGAGAAAAGGTCTCTCTCTCTCTCTCTCTCTCTCTCTCTCTCTCTCTCGCTCTCTCTCTTTCTTTCTCTCTCTCGTTCCGCCACCGTCCCCCTCCTCTATTACACTCCCCCTCTCTTTCGAAGGCTCTGAAAATAGACCAACTGCTCGAGGGGAAAAGGGAAAAAATTAAACCAAAAGAGGCCTTTTTGCCTCCTGGTAATCACTATGCATTTCCAACCTGCTGTGTTTCAAAGGACAATCCAAAAAGATCCCACGCTGCTGGTGCCATTACCGCAAAACCTCGTCCCTCGCTTTTCATTCCCCCTGCCTCGCTCTTGGCTACACGAAAGGGATTGAATCTTGTTCTTAAAATCACACATTTTAAAGTATGTCTGTGCACACGTGTCATAAACTCAGCTGTGGGCCAAATGCACTATAAAAATCAGCCTCATCCCATTAGACTTTATGAGGCAGCCGCTAGGGGGAATGAACCCTGGATGTATCATCATAAATGTACATTTATTCCGAGACCCACACATGTGCTAGCTGATTGTGAAACATTCACGTGTGTTTCTGTGTGTGTGCCCCTGGCAGGTCCCAGCCGACGCTTCAAACGGGTGGTGGAGACGATTCAGGCTCAGTTGTTAAGTACACATGACCAGCCTGGTGTCCAGCAGCTGTCTGGTGAGTGGTCAATCTCTCCACTGACTGGCACACTTCTTTCTCTGTCTCTCGGCTCTCTTACACAGCATCCTAAAAAAAATGCATGGCTCCGAGCCTACCCTTGCAGAGCACTGAACGCTGCACACACCCATCAAGGTCAAACGAGTCTTTCCAGTCTTTAAAATTGTTGTTAAGAGATGGTTTCAAAGACTTTTTTAGGCCATCGGATTGTTCATAATATTAAAATAATGCTCTGAAAAGCAGTAGATACAATGCATGCGATGTTCTATTAATGTTGAATGTGATGTCTTATCTAGAGCTGCTGGAAATACATGTTTGACCTTATCAAAAGAACATCGCACAGAACTGCATTGCAAGGCACAAGCGCACACTCTCCTTAGCATCACGCACACACACAAACACTCACCGAGCATGCTAGAGCACACTCACATGTTTTACAAAGGGTTTATGTCTATATCCTGAGAATTTCTTACATATATTTACCGCAAGTCAAACCTGTGTCCCAAGTCAACAAATGTGGCTGCAAACTGGTCGTTCTATGAGCAGAAATGTGACGGGCTATAAACTGTGGTTCTTGCTGAAGATGAAAATGAGAGAACAGAGAAATCCTCCGCCTGTCTTCTCTCATGGCTGTTCGTGCACGTGGTGGAGATCCTGTTACAGCGCCCTCTGCTGGACAGTTCCAATTCCGTTATCACCAAAAGCAATATCCACAGAAATTGGAGTTTGGCATTTCATTTTTGCATTATCATATGTCTGCTGTGCACAAGAAGCATATTTTATATGTGCATCTAATACCAGGAGGACTTACTTTATTTGCCAATGCACACTGTATTAGATATTGTATGCTATAATACAATACTTCATTTAAACAGTTGAAGTCATAATTATTAGCCCCCCTGAATTATTAGCTTCCCTGTTTATTTTTTCCCCAATTTCTGTTTAACAGAGAGAAGATTTTTTTCAACACATTTCTAAGCATAATAGTTTTAATAACTCATTTCTAATAACTGATTTATTATATCTTTACCATGATGACAGTAAATAATATTTGACTAGATATTTTTCAAGACACTTCTATACATCTTAAAGTGACATTTAAAGGCTTAACTAGGTTAGTTAGGTTAACTAGCCAGGTTAGGGTAATTAGGCAAGTTATCTAATAACAATGGTTTGTTCTCTAGACTATCTAAAAAAATAATAATAATAATAATAAAAAAAAAAATATATATATATATATATATATATATATATATATTAAAGGGGCTAATAATTTTGAGTGTAAATAGTTTTTTTTTTTTTTTTTTTTAATAAAAATTGCTTTTATTTTAGTCGTAATAAAACAAATAAGACTTTCTCTAGAAGAAAAATATTATCAGACATATTGTGAAAATGTCCTTGCTCTGTTAAGTTTCATTTGAGAAATATTTAAAAAAGAAAAAAAAAAACATTCAAACGGCGGCTAATAATTACTTGTGTAAAAAAATAAATAAAATACAGTATTGTAACACAAAAATTATTTATATTGACTGCCAAAAGATTTACCTTTCAAAAATGCAAACAACTAGTTAAAACACAAAGCTAGACTTTCAGTTTGGACACAATATACTTATTTACATTGTATATTAAGTATATCCTCCAACTTGATGGAATCATTTTTTGAATGTAAAATTTTATCAAAAGAAGACTTTGACTTTTGACTTCAGCTCACGTTGAGTCATGCAAAATGAAAAAAGCAACAAAAGCTATTAATGCTTTCTGTTCACTGTAAAAAAAAACATCTAAATATTAGAAATTAATGGTTTAAGAAAATACACACTAGAAACAAGTCAAATTATCTGCCAGAGCAGTAAGAAAATGATACTTGTTAAGATTTGAAAAAACCTGCATAGGCACAGGTAAAAGAATTTAGTCTAATTACATTTAAACTAGCGTGTTAATTGCCTTTTTACTCTTTTGTGTGTCAATAGGTCTTTAAACTAGAATTACTAAACAAGAGAATGCCTCTTAATTTTTTAATTTTCATTATATGGTGTCTTAATATGAGCCAAAAGATTTTTATTTAATCAAAATCACTCAGACATGCATATTGTCCACATTTTTATTCAAGTAAAGATTTGACAGTTGTTTAAGTGTTAAATTATCACCTGCTGCTTCTGGAAAATGCTGAAGCTTGCTGAAACAAAACATACCATAATGTATATTTTGTCACTAAAGAACAAGTATAATTGTTGTTGAGCATTTTTTATCACCAATCTTAAACAATCTTAAACAAGTCCTAAAAATGCAAGGCTGGTCTGAAGTTTTGGTCTCTAATTGTAATTAAGCTAAATTTGCATGTACAGTTCCTACCCTTAAACTGTACTAGCTAAGAAAAAAATACATCTAAAATCTTAAAGCAGTTATAATAATAATCTTATGCAATCTAAAGATTAAAACAAGATCAAAAGGATTTTTTCTTTTTTAAATATTTCCTAAATTATGTTTAACAGAGCAAGGACATTTTCACAGTATGTCTAATAATATTTTTTATTCTGCAAAAAGTCTTATTTGTTTTATTTTGGCTAGAATAAAAGCAGTTTTTAATTAAAACATGTTAAGGTCAAAATTATTAACCCCTTTAAGAAATATATTTTTATAGTCTACAGAACAAATCATCGTTATGCAATAACTTGCCTAATTACCCTAACCTGCATAGTTAACCTAATTAACCTAGTTAAGCCTTTCACTTTAAGCTGTATAGAAGTGTCTTGAAAAATATCTAGTGAAGTATTATTTACTGTCATCATGGCAAAGATCAAATAAATCAATTATTAGAGATGAATTATTTAAACTATTATGTTTAGAAATGTGTTGGAAAAAATCTTCCCTCCGTTAAACAGAAATTGGGAAAGAAAATTAAAAGGGGGGGTTGATAATTCAGTTGATAATATATCTATATATACTGCAAGATTTATTACTAGTAAAATGAAAGAATGTTTTGAAGAGCAAGATACATTATCTCTCACAGTGTGTTCTGGAGTATTGCTCATTTAGCAGCTCATCCATGCATTGTTTTTGTCTACAATAGTCTACATTCTGCATCCTGCAAAAAACAATGTTACAGCAATTCAAGCAAAATCTCTCACTCTCAGTGCCTGATTCTAATAAATGATTCATAAAACCGAACCTGCTGTAGGTAACTATATTCATATTGTGCATTTGGACTGTCTTCAAGAAGAGCTGTTATCAGGATTGTAACCCATCACCAGTGTATAGCCTTAAGATGTGCCATCCTTTCACCCTGTCAGTCATGCCATTCCCTTCCCCCTGGCTTTACCCTGCTCTTGTTCATGACGGCTGTTGAGTGAATGGGCATGTGAGCTTGAGTGTCCTTACTGACCGTGAGCAGACCTGCACAGCACCGAGCACCAGCATGCTTCCCTCTCGGCAGATGTGGCCACGTCATGAACATCTGTGCAAGGAGTCCGAATCACTGAGTTTATGTCATTACTGGAGAGTCAATGGGGTGCACTGAGAATGTCATTTAAGGCTGAATATTTGATCTGAACAGACATGTTACAGTAATGTGTCATGTTCCTTTGACAGGAAAGCGTTCTAGGGGTGGTAAGAGGTCTATTTTAACTCTTCTGCCACAGTGTGCGTCACTTTGCCATACACTCGCCTTCCAATGCGTGGCACTTACAGTGATATTTTTGAAAGAAAGTTCACCCAAAAATGAAGTTTCTGTTATTGTTGCACTGCGCTTTATTTTCAGGATATAAAAATGCTAGGCTGGCCTGCCTCATGCTTTTCAAAAGCACTCCTCAATGGTAAAATCTAAAGGGGATACAGCTGTTTCAATATATACCATAATTTTTGTGACACATACTTACTATTTTTATGTTGCTGTGATGGGTAGGTTTGGTTTGGGGTAGTGGTTTTATTGATGTTAATAAACCTAATTTAAAGGGTAATTCAAATAATAATATAAGTAATTGAGGTTAACTTATGGCTAGAGCTGTATCCTTTCTACAGCAACCCAACCCATGTCAATTTTTGACATGATCAATCCAAGTAAAGTAGCTGGTGTGTGTAGTCCAAAGGACCAACATTCTAGCTTAAGGCCCCTGATAAAAGTAGAATGACAAAAAAGTAAATGACAAACAAGAACATCCAATAATGCTAAGTAATTGACATTTCTTCTCAAATTGTGTTATTTTTAATTAAAAACATGTCATCGATTATTATGTTCCTGTAATTCCTAACTGAATTTGACAACTGAAGAATACTTTGACTTTTTCCACATCTTCCAATAAGAGTGATTGTGTGCATATTTTACAATATTATTTGTAAAAAGATTACTTTCTATCTTGAATTTGGCCTACAGTTCCTTCTCTTTGCTGATTTCTACTTCAGAGTAGAAATACTTTAGGCACTTTAGAATACTTTAAAATAGAAATACTTTAGATTTCTCCATGTTCAAGCCATGGTTATGGTCTTTTTAGAAATGTAACACTTTACACAACAACGTACTTAACTTTGAGCAGAAAACATTTGATGTGTTTTGGTAGTTCTTTTACACCACAAGCATTGTGGAGGCCTGAAATTCAATGCAAATAAATTGCTTGGCTTGTATCTTGTAATCTCTCTTTAAAGCTCTAAATCTTGGCCAGAAAACCAACATGAAACTCATTTCATGCACATGCATATTACAGTATGTGCATAGCAGACAACAGGGCCACACTGTATGTTCTACAGCATAAACAATAATCGTTATGACATGGTCATCTGTATGTGAAAAACTTCAAAAAAAATTATAGTTTGTTATAGAATTGTAACTCATTAAGTCTTTTTATAGACTTGAAATAAACCCCTTTATTCATATGTAATGCTTTTTAAAATTTCTTTTTTATTATTATTGATGAACTTCTAGTTCCATTGACCTACTGTATAGTTCCCTCTCAGATATCTTACAAAAAATAAATTAATAAAACAAAGGTAACACTTTATTTTGATGG